CCTGCATCAGGGTCATCTGCCGCTCCTTTTCGGATGCAAGACGGGCGTTCACAACCACATCTGCGTGAGCCTTGCTGGGGTCTGATGCATGCTCTTCCTGCTGCAGAGCAGGCTCGACGGCGTGCTTCTCTTCAGAGGCGGCCATGAGTGACGATGTGAACCCGTGAGCTTGTAAGAAGTTGGAAAAGGAAGTGAAGCAAGGTGCTGCGTTTCGAGATGGAATATCTGGGGAAATGATGAGATATGACAAGAATTATATAGATGTTTGAGCAGCGGTCCACAATCGTAACCGAAGCTCTGGGGACCCCAGAGCACGCCCCAGACTTTGCTGCCCAGCATGTGGGTGTGGATGAATGCGGACGGATGTGGACAAATGGGGGATGCAGCGCCGGCAAACGTTGAGCAGAACCACGTTTTCCAGGACGATACCTCCCTCATTTGGGGGGCTAGAACACGGCCTGGAGGCACAGACGCTTAATGGAGGAAACCTCGGCGGAGCGAACCATTCATCGACGAGTCAAATGCTGCTTCCGTGTGAATGACCGGGGGGGTAGTGACAGACTAGAGTGTTTGGGTAAGCCAAGCTACTCGGGAGCGTAATTCTCATCCGCGTGAAACCAAAGCGGCATGTGTCGTCACTCAGATCGAGATTTCTCGTGGAATTCTAGAAGCCGTTTGGTTCAAGTTGAAGTTATTCATCTGATGAGGACTTCATTTACACATCATGTGCTACTTTCCCACCCTTTCTACCTTCTCAAACTGAAAGAATGAAGACACCGGGCACGCACCACAGAGGACACGCAGCGAGTCAGATGCCAACAGAGCAGGAGGAGCCCAGATGAGCAACTCCTAGCGTGTCTTGGTCGTGAGGGGTTTTCGGAGTTTAGCTGCTTTAGTCGGGTCTTTTGTGGAGTTCCTCCTGGCCGAGGAACATGTCAGCCAATTGGAGGTGTGGTGATGATAACTCCAAATCTCCTCCACAGCGGAGGCCTCGACTCCAAGGTGGAGTAGCTCCTTAGTAGCACGAAATTGCCACTGGGCATGAGCCAGCCGCCCTTACCCTCGGCAAAGCGATGAGAGTCAAGTGAGTGTTGGACAGGAGAAGTACGCGGGGCGAGGGAGGATGATGGGCAATATGTATTATCTATTCCTTTGAAAATCTGCATCGATGCCCTTGCTTTAAAGAGGTGTGTGTACTCTCGTAAACACGGCCAAACTCAGTGGGCGAAGACGCTCAAGTCCCAAGATCCCGGCGGTGACCTACTGAATGACTCGCCGGCACAGCTAACCAAAATAGAATAATCCTCAAGCTTATTGGCCAAAGCCGGGGAACGAGGCGCATGAATCATTATTACAATGCCGTAATAGAACTCAAACTCGCCCATTATTGCCTACAGCGACTCCACCGACGGGCGAATACACATGGAGCCCTTTGGTGTTCTCTAGTCTTCTCGCAACGGGTAGTGTGCTGTACAGGAAATTTTTGAATAGTCATGGGAAGTAATAGCATCATATTATTGGACGGCTAAACACCCAGACCGTAATTTCAATTCAATAGAAAGAGTTCGATCAAAGAAAACTACGAAAACCTTCTCATCCCGAACAATTCCACTGAGGCCACATCCACATTCAAGACTGCTTATACATTGTTTGCCGCATTTAGGAGTTGCACTTGTAAGGTTTTTACACAGTAGCTCATGTAATAGTAAGCCAAACAAAGTTCCCCGTCGTGATTTTCATCTTTGAATAACAGTGTGTTTCTTCTTCTCTGATGGACATCTTTCAGCTACCGTGACCGCTACGACTTTCTTTCTCGCAGAATTTCCCCTAACCGGTAGTCTGAAGTCCTCTGTTTCCTAAATGGCCATCCTCCTTATCTGCGAGCATTTTGCTACTCAAGTCTGTCCCTCTCTACGTTCTTCCTGTGATCTCTAGACTATGAACTGCTGGGCGCAGTTACCCTCTCCTCTTGCTTGTAAACCAAAATTGGAGTTGGAATTAGCTAGATACAGGTAACTAGGTGAAAAGATGAAGTTTGGAATACGACAAGGTGTCGAGAGAAAGAAACGAGGAGGTGTTTTGAGATTCAGACATATTAGCTAGGTATCACTCGTTTATCTGTGCACCTACCAGACGAGAATGCAAAATCCTCGCCCCAACTCAGTAAATCCAACCCGAGACATCTTCTAACCTTATTAAATACAATATTGATCTATTTAGTTTGCTAAGCTAATAGAATATTGTCCCAGTCCCATGAAGTTTCACTGTTGACGGCCTGTTGTTCTTTTCACTCTAGGGTAGCCTCTTACACATGCCAGCGGCGACGGCCAATCTCGGAGAATGACGCCGGTTCTAAAGGGATCCGAGCTGTGGGTCATCTGAAATTGGATGTTGCCGGCGCTGTCAAAACGCGTTCTTGAGCTGAGCCGAGCGCGCTAAAACACGTCACGCAGCCTCCCATGTCTCGGCCCCCTGAGTTGGCTCCTCTGTCCATCCCTTTTTCAAAACAAGACGCCCGCCCTGATCTTCGAGCTGATCCAGAATGTCCGGGTAGGCAGCTTCTTCGGGCCGCCAGTATTGGTTGCTCCCGATTTCCTCGGCAATCGCCAACATCCCGGCCGGACTTGCACCCAATGATACAAGGAAACTGCACGGCTTATCGTGTCCATCAGCCCTTGGCTTTCTCCACGGGGGTATCCCTCCTCTTCCTGATGATGAGGTATTTGATGCCCCAGAACATAAAAGCTAGCAATATAGCCACCGCACTGGTCCATGTGAGAGCGAGGAACTTTTGGCCTCCCTGGACCTCAACACCAATATGTCTGGTGAGGCGATTCATCCTATCGATGCCCTTCGTAGTTACTACTGTAGCAATTATGCTTGCAGTAACTAGAACACTAGCAGCGGTGAGGCTGATAAGGACTGCTGATAAGGCCACCCTCTTGTGTTGCGGCTTGACGAAGGCGGCCAAACAAATGAGAATGCTGAGACCGCAAAAGGTTATCCCCAGCACGTAGAGGACGAAAAATCCTAGTAGGGCCTCGTTCAGAGTATCAAGGTTTGCTTGGATATCATCAGTCCAACCCAAGTTAGGCAGCTTGATATCGAAGGGCCCCAAACTGAGCTGGTTGTTGATGATGGTTTCGAGATCCAGACGGTCTAGTGAACCGATTAGCGTTGTATATTTTCGTGGGAGAGAGGGGAAAGAAACTTGCACCCGGCCTTAGAATCAGAGCAATTTGTTGTCTGGAGCGACGCCGACCTGACTGTCCCATTTGGTTGGAAACTGCCTTCACACCCATTCATCACATGAACTGAGTACCAGTCCGAGATGCCGATTTTGTCAGCCACCTCGTCAACGGTGCCGCCAATGAGGTCGTTGAGTTTATCAATTATCGCATGCTTCGTATCGTCCCATAGGTCTTTGATTATATCAAGAAAGCCGCCACTGTTGTTATTTTTTTCATTAGTGTCGCTGGCCTTGATAAGATCATAGCCAATTCGTGAAACGTTGACCTAGGTGGCATAATTGAGTATGATTAGTCTCCAAAATGAGGAAGGATAAAATTAAAAGAGAGGAGAAAAGATAACCAGGCTATGTAGGCCTTTACACTTACCCTTGCAAGTGCGTACTCCTCCATGAAGCCTTCCTTGTGACCAGCAGATAGTGAAAGAGCCGCAAGGATTAATCCTATTGTGCTCAGAGCCAGAGGGATGATGACTATTAACCTTGCAAGTAGAGCCATTTTGAATGAACAGAAATGATCGTGTGAGTTTCTTTCAGCAGGGAAAGTATGAGGGAGCTACGGCACAGCGGGCTAATGCCAGGTGAGTATATTTTCTCTTTCGGTGTGCGTGGCAGGTGGAAAATGCTTAAATTTATTTCCAAGCTCATACTGCACCAGCACAGCGCGGTCTGGCTTTCGTAGGACAGTCCACGCCGGAAAGGGGCAATGAGCTCTGTTGAGGAAGACTGGTCAAACAATGAGAAGTGACTAAAGAGCGATGGAATTGGCAGGAGGAATATTACAAACCTGGTCGCTGATATCCTGGGACGATGCAACCAGTCGAAGGTGTCTCAAAGCACAACACACCGCCGCCTTGAGTCATTGGTGATTGGCGCTTCAAGCCCCTGGCAAGGTGTTTTAGAAGGTCGCAATGCGGCTCGATTAGTTTGGGACATCCATCAACCGTTGGTCGCGCATTGATTTGATACGTGGGCAACAAAAAGCATTGGCCAGTGAGCCCCTGCAAGCATGATGTATTCCATTCCGGTTTATGCGTGAGACTTTGATACACCTGAATCACATGCTTGTTCTACATTCCAGATCATGATGTTTCTCAAGGTAGCTGTAACTCCTAACTCTTGGCTGATTGGAGTCCAGTTGCTTCTTCTATGATCATGGGGCCATTTATGTACTAGCCTATGGCTTCGAATTCATGCACATTAGACGTGTTGTAGCCTCTAGCAGTAGATGGGAGCTTTCAAGTACTTTAATGATTGGGCAAAGACTTTAGGCTCTACTTCGACAAGAAAACAATTTCATCATTGCGTCATTGAGGGCGATCCTCCTCGGAAAAGGTCTACACTAATCAAATGTCTTTAATGTGTATTGATTTGTCTCATGCACTCATTCTGGCACTGAAACAGCCTAGGTGAAATATTTTTTGATGCACGATTTTATGTTCATGCTTACATATAAAAGCGATTGAAGTGTATAATTGTTGATTCTTGTATGGGAATCTACAATTTTAGACGTAGTGGCTTGCTAATATCATGTGCATCTTCTGAAGTAGTATCTCTCCTGTAGACGATGTTTGGAGTGCATGCATATAGAATCGCGTTTATTGAACATGAGCTAATGCAATATCTTCTTAAATGGATGTAAATGCTGCGCTAAGTACACAATCCTAGAAAAAAACCACTATTTAGACAAATATGCGGCAGCCCTCAGCGACTTGAGTGCACAGTTGGACTTGGCCATGAGAACGAGCTGTGTCTATATCCCTCCTACACCCTTGAAAATGGCCTTGACAAGTTGCTTCTCCGCCTCTTGCTGCTTGGCCCTAAGAAAGGCCATAATCGCGAGAGTCGTAAAATCGTTTCCCAATTCACCCGAAAGCACCGGGCCCTTGAATTCGAAGCGCCCAATCTGCTTTTTGCTTGATGTCAATGATAGATCACTCATCGAATCCTCCTCAGCCGTGATCGTAGCCGCCACAGTGCCAGTTGTTTCCCCAACAAGTTGCAAGCTCTTTTCCTTGCCTGTCAGTTTCTGGTTTAATTTATCACTGAGCTTGTCCCCGATGGACTTTGAGGTACCAGCCCAGCTCCACGATTCCATGCTTCCTCTGTAGGGGAACTGAAAACTGCCGTTGTACTCGGCCTCATGAGCGCTTGGTAGTTTAATCAGGTATTTGGTACTCGTTGAGCTCTTTATCTTGGCTTCACCGAGATGTTCGCCGTTGCGCTTGAATTTGTCACGCCTCAGAGCGATCTTCCCATCAGACATGCCCAACTTGCCCGAAAATAAGGGCTCTCCCTTGGGTTCCATCCCAAATTCGATAAAGGTGCCCATATTGGAGTCGGAATTCCACCATGTGTACATACTAGCAGGGAATATCATCGATAAAGGTGGAGGGTGTGAATTTGATTGACTATGCCATGATGACGCAGAGTTTGGTCGTTGTTGTAAATGCTGTTGGCTCGGAACGGAGGGCTGAGGGCTCGTTCCATAGGGAGCGAGATGTCCGGTGTTGTAGTAGAGGGCTTGGGGCTGAAGAGCATTATCGTGGCTTTGGGAAGGATGGTGGCTAGAAATGGGGCGTTGGAAAGGACCGGGGCCCTGAGGCCGGCCAGAAGAAGAAGTAGGAAGGCTATTCACTTCTCCCCATCCCCAGCCTGGGGGAGGCCCTGTGGGTGGTGCAAAGTCGTCAACCTGTGTCTGTTGATAAGTCGTGGGATGTTGTTGGTATGGAGGCGGGTCATTTCGCTTCTTTGAGTAGCAACTCATCTTGCTGTCCAGAGTATGGGAAAGGTTGGATCAGAAGTATGTGATATAATAATGATTCAATTTTTAATAAGCCAGGAAATCAGATATCAGTACTTGTTCTTGGATGATAATTGACTGGATATAAATATGAATCCCTGCCGCGGCATATTTCTCTTTTAGGCAAGGAAAAGTTCCTGGAAATGGCTGTGTATTTGTGGGCCTCTTTGGTGCCTCGATGATGTAAATAGTTTGATCAAAAGGGTGCAACGAGTTGTCGATCTCTGCAAGTTCTGCTATTGAAAGAAGTCAAATGAATACATGCTCCCGCCCAAATGCCGCCTTACCTAGTCCAGTACTATGATCCTAATATGGTATATCAAGCTACATCTCCCGATCAAGGGGCGGGTGAACAGAAAGCTCTCATCTCTAGCTCCGAACCCGCCACTCGGCGCCGCTTGTGTCCACGCCCGGGAATAGTTCATTACCGAGATAGTATTTGAGATACGTCAAAGCAGCAAAGCCAACATGGCTATCGGATGATGCTCAAAGGCATTGTCGAGGGTATGTACGAACCCAGAATGTCGTGGTCTGATGGCAAGATCAATTAGCAATCATTATGGATGTCCGAGCATGAATGACTTGGTTTCGTGGTCTAGTTGGTCATGATTTCTCGCTAACAATCACCATGATTGCGCCGAGACGGTCCCCGGTTCGAGCCCGGGCGAAACCACATTTTTGGCCATCATCTCGGATTGGGCCCGGCCTTCATTTTCTCTATCCTGCTTTTTTTGGGAGATTCAATTGCTTTCCATGTATGTGTGATCTTTGTCCTTTTTATCACTATAACATCTTCAGTGCCCCTTCTGACTGTCCTTTTGGAGGTACGCTCACTACAAGATGTGGACTTGATACGTGCTCCCATCCACCCCCAACTGATTTGGGAGATATGCATCCTCGCTATACCTTTGCTTGATATCGGCTCGGTCTAGGGAGAAGTCTTTACACTCATGGAAAGGAGTCGCCACGAACCGCTCCTCAGTCCTCGGACCGGCCTTGAGCCTTGCTTCAACCTCGGTATCGCTGAGCCCAATCAACCCCGAGCGATACAAATCCTCCAACTGATACAAGACTTCATTTGCCATGGTCGAGAAGAAATTGTCGTGAATCTCCCGCACGAGGCAGCGGAGAATGACAGGCCTGGGGAGTCTGCGCAGGATGCCTCGAGAGATGGGGAAATCCTGCATGCTCTTCCAGGTCTTGCGGTCCTTGGTCCACTCCCAGCGGCAGGCGGTTTGGTTTTGCAGGATTTTTATATTACGACTGTCCCATAACTCGGGCTCGAATTGCAGCTCGACGAATCCAGATTGTATGCTCGGAGAATACGTCTGGTCAATGAGACTGAGATAGAGTTGCGCAAATGGCCGAGGAGCTGGGCAGGGCATGATATCTTGGTTGATCTGCTCTCTTGCCATATCGAGAAAGAAAGGCAGGAATATCTGAGCCTTGACCAATTCCGGTTCCAGGAATGGATAGAATATAGACTTGTCAATGGGAGAGTTAAGAAATCGGGAAACATGCTTGAGGTCCCTGTACACATCATGCTGTAGAGCCTCAAGAGGGTAAATTGTGGTGGGGAGTTTGATATTGGTTGCGATGCTAAAACAAACATTCGCACAGCACGCTATCAGCTTGAAGTGACGCTCCTCGGATGTTTTGCGCAAAATGAGATAGACCAGCGACTTGGATTTGCCTGGTTGTAGGACAAATATCTCGTCTGAATCTGGCTGAATCAATGTGTCCAATTCCACCCGTGTCGCCAAGTATATCGCGGAGCGAGGTGAATTGAAATATCGGTTGCTCCTCCATCGCCAGCGCGTTTCACTCCGGTCGAGAGGGATTTCATACAAGCCCAAGAGTCCAGACTTATCAACAAGACGGGCCTTTGATGTAATGGCGACTAACCTTGTCAGTGTGATCGCCAAAGCGCCAGTATCAGAGTTCACACTGGCGTCGTAATTCCAAGGGCGGGATTCTTGGACCGTGGGATGATGCTTCTCATAGGGGAGAATCTCGTGACCTTGGGTCCAGAGACTCGTCACCGTGTTCTTGGATGTGAACTTCATTAGCTTGATATAGGGGCTTGCCCCTGGAGAATTTGGGATTTGTGACACCGTCTCCGTTTTACCCCTAGCCCAGCTTGCGAAATCCTCCCAGGCTAATCTGTCCTCCACTTGCGTGTTGAAGATCGATTCCCATGATTCTTGTGATTCCCATTTAGGTACCCAAGTCAGCGTTGACGTGTTGTTGGCACAGCAGCGGGCGTGGAAAAGGAGTTCTAGCCGTGAAAGAACCAGCATACTGTAGGCAAAAAATCCCACAAATACCTGCTGGCGTGATCGCGTATAGTCGGGCAGAAGCTGTCCCTTGATTGACTCGTCTTTCAAGAGACCTAACACGCCGAAGATTCGGTCTCTTGCGTCAGAGGCCTGTGACCTGGACGTTCTCGCTACCAGCTCAAAAGCATTTCCTGCAGGAAACTCTCTGAAACAAGCATGTGTATTAGCGATCATTAATGAGAGAATTAAAAAGGTGACGAACTATGAGGGGAGCTTCACTTACCCGCGTGTAATATTTTGGACCCAAGGAGCTCCGGTATCTTCCCACTTCCAATTCTTGGGTCCCTCTATACTCCAACGTTCCATTAGAGCCGAATCAGCCCAGAAAATCATGTCATGGATGGGAATGATGACCCGGCGGGACAGTATGAGTTCCTGGATAACCCACACACGCTTGAAGTATCGACGAGTTAGGAGATGTCCCAGATGTAGTGATGGTCCATTCTCTTGAACACCGCTTGGGTCGACGGGTGCAATAAGAGCCGATTCGAGGTCGTAGAGTTGATGGCGCGATGCATGTGCGCGCGACGGTTGGACAACGTCATACCCAAGCCACAGAACAGCTCTGGAGCATTCACTGTATATTCTCCCCATCTTTGCAACTTGCTCATCTCTTTCCTTCGTGTTATGTTGGTTGATGCAGACGGCGTCAATCCAAACCATCCTTATACCTCGCCATGGGCGCAAGTATTGAAGCATCTCCCAGCAGTTGTTGGTTGAGAATAATATGTCCCAATATGGCCCAACATAGACCGGACGAGTCCTTTTTAACAGTTAGATATCTTTTTTTTTTTTCATGTATGCTATTAAAAACAATCCCTAGGGAATGAGATAACTCACAATGTGCCGTTTCCATCCTCGCCTGCCCACGTATATGAGACGGTCTCATATTCGGGACAGTTGTCATGTTCATATGTCTCCAAGGAGAGGTGGACAAAACCTCGCGAAGACTGTTGATTCCGGTCGCCTAAAGCCTCAAGACAGACAAGCCTGAACTCATTGGAGCCAAGAGTAGAACCGTAAACCGGTGACCACTGAGCGACTGATGCCGACATAGAACTTTCCTCATTTTCTTCGGCTGGTTGAGCTGTACTGGCATCCGAGGTCTGCGTCGAGAGCCCGGGGGCTCTTTCTAGCTTTTTATAGGGCACTATAGGCGGCCAACGGAGGTTAAGACGGTCGCTCGACTCGTCGAAAGGGACAGCAGGAAGGGCGCTCGAGCCTAGCTGCTCGCCCTCAGCCTTTTCCAGAGCCCGCCTGGCGGATTCTCCGCAAGCCCGACAGCAGGGGACTGAATCTTCATTGGTGAAAACATCCGGCACCGAGCAGATGCTCAGGTGCCATCGGCTCATGCTGCTTGTCAAGTAGGAACAGATTTCAGGACCGCGAAGGACCGGTGCTTTGCAGGTTGTCGGATTCCAGTCAGTGCCAGAATTACCAGTAGAGCACGCCAGTTATACAGATGAGACAATACATGCCTGCCTTGGTTCAGCCGCTAAACCTGTCCAACTAAAGGGCAGATCGAGGCGCCAGGTCTGGATGGCGTGGCAAAATGTTCCGAGTCAGTCAGTCAGCAGATATTTCCACTTCACTTGAGGCACAGCGGTGCTGCGGGGTAATAATAAGTCAGCCTTCTCGTGCGAGAGCGGGCCGGCCCTAAGGGCTGACTGCGTATATATCGGATTCTTCATGGTTCAAGGAATGCATACATTTATTTGTGCATGGACTTTGAAGGAGTGTGCAGTTTTGACTACCATCGTTACTTTTTGTATTATTTCTTCATATTGTACATAACATCTACCGAATAAGGTGAATCCTCACTTCCTCTCGATATCCTCCTCCCCCAACGGTTCTCTCTGCCGATGAGGTAGTCGTTGATGAAGCCCTTTGTACACAGCCTTGAAATTGTCTCTCATCCCTATCACCTGGCCGTCGCTGCGGTACCTCTCCACGCCCTCGGCTAATTCTTCGAGCGTCTTATTCTGCAGCACCAAGCTTCCTCCTTCAGCACGCGGGTTCTGCATGGAGGGAATCCAGACCCACGCGAAGAGCGCGCCCAGAGCCATGACACCGCCGAAAACGAGAAAGACGTATCCGAGGCTCGTGCTTCCTGGCTTGGATACCTTTTCATTTCTAAGGCTGCCATCAAACTTCATGTAGGGCAGGATGACCTGCACGAGGACCGAGCCGAGCTTGCCGCTGGCTGCTGCGATCCCATGGCACGTGGCTCTGTAACTGGTGGGGAAGAGTTCTGCTGGGATAATAAAGGTCAAAGTATTTGCTCCTGTTGCCATCTCATTAGCAAATTGTAACAAGTAACAGACATAACCTGAAGTTGTCCACATACCAAAGTTGAATAGAAAGTTGCAGAGCGCAACAAGGACGATTGTAGCAGGGAATCTTTCAGTGTACGCCACAGCCCGGAAGGTACCACCGGTGATAAACATAAGCAACGCAAGGGCAAGGAAAGAGTAGATGAGAAACTGCTTCCGGGGGATGTAGTCGATGAGCCATATAACCAGCAAGCTTCCTAAGAGAGAGGGAAGGCAGACGGTGAGGATGTTCCTCTCTGCATTCTCTAGCAGAGCTTCATAGATGCTGGGATTTGACAAGCCTGGATTCCAGCTGCTGTGAGCATTAACATCCATGCCGTCAGTAGGGGGGCTGGATGCCCAGACGTTGGCCAGGATCTGAGGACTTCCAATTCCGAGTCCATAGAAGGCGCTTTTTGAAATATTGAATTAGTACAGTGACAGGCGCCGGAAAACTGGGAGGATGACACAACTTACACATCGAGAAGGAACCAACATGCAGATGTGCCGGCGAGCAGTCTCCAGTTTCCCTGATTCCAAAAGTAGTCCCTCATGTCTGGCAAGGTGAGCTGGACAGGTAGCGAGTCAACTCGGTGTAGGCGGGTCCCCGAAGCCGTGGCATTTTGCTGTAGTTCCCGGAGATTTTCCCTGTATAGATTTTGCGTGTTCTCGACGGCTATCTGGCCCCTGTCTCTGACATCGAGGTCATACAGCCCGGGATCCTTGATCTTGAAGCGGAAGTAGATGGCAACCACGGCTGGGATCGCACCAACTCCAATAATCCACCGCCAGATACTGTCAACCTGGCTTCGACACCAGGCTGGGTCCTGCCCCGGTTTGCCCATGCAATTCGTCAGAGGATTCGTTCGGTTATATCCAGCCAGAACGGCGAGCCCAACCAACTGTGCCACGAGCTGCCCTAGTGGTTGCATGAGAAACACAGCGCTCATCATCCGAGGACGGGCTTGAGTTGGGGCCCATCTTGAAGATGAAGATTAGATACGGGTCCAAAAGAGCAATGGCTCTTGAACTTACTCGGTGCAGATGGCGGCTGACAAAGGGTACTATTAATTTGCGTGAGCTATAATCGCTGGAGCCTTGCGCTATTGGTGACAAACCTCGCCGCCGATTCCTGTTTTGTGATTAGCGAGGAAGTCTTTGGAATAGGGAAGGATTGACAATTGGCTTCTTACCTATGCCCATGGCAAATCTCATTGCCATAATCCAAGCCACAATGCTGATCGAGTCCACTCCTTGCGAAGCAGCGCAGACTGTAATGGTAGTCACAATGACAATAAGCAACTCAATCCCATAGAGTCGTGTTCGTCCTAGGCCTATTTCCACGTGGATTCGTCAGCTCGTCACCTGGTCTGGTGCGGAGAAGAATGACTGACGGTCGGCCAGATAGCCGAAGAGAAGCTGTCCGACCAGCGCACCAACTAGCGACATGATATTGATGAGTGACTCATTTTTGTGGTCATTATTGTCCGGCCAATACACAAAGGCCAGAGACGGGAGGATGACATTAGTGGCAAAGAGGTTATATGAGTCCGTGAAGAAGCCAGAAGCGCTGACTTCCCAAACGAGCCAATTGAAGGCATTGGGCTCTAGATCAATTATCTGGCGGATGTATGTTCTCTTTTCGGACCTCGTCTGGGTGGCGATTTATCGTTAGAACCAGCTGTAGTGAAGCGTCATCGCTGTGTTCCTACTCACCTCTAGGTCAGGCGGCAATTCGAGTTGGGATGTCATCGAGACAGTAGCGCCAACCAAGTAAATTGTTGTGAAGAATCACAGAACGAGTACAGAAGATCGTCATCAATATGAAATGAAATGCTTCATGTCGGGTGCTGGGGTGTGGTACCCCTTTTTTAAGGCGCAGTGGGTGTTGGAAAGAGAGCATTCTCTATGGACAAGGATTCTTTCAGCTCCTTCGCCTACTGTGCACGCGGGTGCAAAACCCTTATTACCGCGTCCGTTCAGTTTGGTAAGGCTGAATCGGCATCCCAAAGTGCACTATTGGGCGCATGTGCCCCTTGAAAGTGCCCGGTGGCACTGGCATTGCCTCCCTAGCCGCGTCCTCATTGGAACCGGGCGGGCAACACGTAACACGGGCGAGCTTCTGCCTGTAGCAATGGAAGACCAGAGCTGGAATGGCACTGCTTCTCGCCCTCAAATGATCAATATTTGGGGGCGGGTAGGCTCGTGGGAGGCAGACATTGCGACAGGGGTCTCAGCCTCATCGGGCGAATCAAGTGCCAACTTGGGCCCATGTGGAAATCCTGGAGTCTTGAATGGATCGGCGGCTATATCTTACTTAGCCACAGCGAGCAAAGTGAGCACATGGTCTGCCCCTCGCGACATTTGTGTGTACTGGATCAATCGCCCCCTGTTATGGTTCAGCGGAACTGCTCGTGGTATTTCCTGACGCCGCTGTCTTTGGTCCGCACGGTGGCTAACTACCTTCTACCACCTACTTACTACCTACGTACGGACACACAGACCTCTCTGAGTTGGATCGGCAGAGTCCTGTCCCAAAGCATCATTCTCCATTGTATAGGATTAGCCAATTTCTTGTCCGTACTGGCCACGTTGGACTGGGATGAGACAAGCAATTATTAAGCTGCGCTGCCCAATATCATGACGCTGGCTGGGTTTGTTGGACTCGCAAAAGCTATAGACATATGCCATGATATCTGGGACGCCTTTGCCAACGAGCGCATTAATGCCCCGACTCGTATCCGTGCGCTCGTCACCACTATCGGGCACCTTCATGGCATTCTCAAGTTTCTAGACGAGAACTACCAAGACCAATACCCCCTCAAGAACCAGTTCCTAGAGACTCTTGGAGAGTGTGAAGAGTTCATCGATAACTACCGCACCCTCAAAACCGCCCAGCCCAGCCCAGGAGACAATCCACTGGTGGATACTCTCCGTCACCCTTGGGATACCACATTGTATGGCCTTGATGGCGCTGAAAGGCGCGCCGAGGAACTGAGTCAAAAGCTGGTATCCCAACAACAAAATCTGACCATTTTCTTGCTGGCACAATTCCTGTAAGCATACTTTCTCCTCTCGTTCTATCTTATCTTTCATTACCGCCCTTTCTCGCCCCTTTCGTCCTCTCCCCCTATATCTTCATGGAGTGCTCATACCCAAACTCCAAAGGAAGATTACGGTATCCAATCATGAGGGCGCTCCCTTGACCACAAGCACCCCATCGGAAACATCTTCAGAGCATAGTAGCAAGGGAGCATCGCTTGGTATTCTGGAGAATCAAACGCCTTTTGAGATTTTCAGTCAAGGGAATCTCCCTCACGAACAAAAGCTCGCAAAGTTCCATGAATGCTTCCAGCTGCTCCGGAATCGATATGAACGTGTCACCAGCAACGCGGCACAACATGGCAGAGTCCCTAATCTTAACCGACTCCAGGAAGAATACCAGGCACTGTGGTTCTTCCTTTGTAGTCATGTGGGCTTACCGAAGAACAAACAACCTGCTATGCCTCCGATGGACAAACTATTTGCCAATCCATCCAGCGTCAGCAGCGATGTTCGAATCAACAGTGATAGAGCGATCCCGATAGCGCGGACTTGGTCCTCACCGATCTTAACGGAAGAGAATATCAGCAAAAGTCCGTCAACGTTTCAGTTCCGCTCGAGTAGCACGGTACGGACCACACCACAATCCACCGGTATACCGCACCCGGGACCGGCACCATCGATCAGCTCAGCTGAGTCGATCATTCTGCCTGGCCCTGCTATGTTTCCTGAGGAGCACGTTGCGTCAACGTTCGTCTCCCCCGCAAACCCGTAAAACTGCTCTGGCTGACAGATCTATAGATTATTGACTCACTCGACTGGAACATTCACAGCACGTCTGGGGCACTGGACAGTTCAGAATGATGGCTCCCAGAAGACTATCACGTGGTATGGAATAGAACCTGTAGGCGAATTAAGACATACCAGTAGGCACACATGCCATTGCCACGGTTTCTTGGGGGATCACGCCTGTTAACTTCTTCTAGTACCTCCTGGCATTTACCCCGTCTCGCTGCATTGCTCGCAAAAACAGCCGCTTCATATGAGATTTTTAAATGACAAAATACACAACGTGATTTGGGTAGACGAAAACGGCGTGCAACATCCTCAACAACTAACCCCGAAATATGACTTCACAACACGCGAGCGCTACGAATCCTTCCAGGGCGACGTTCGCGGCAAGAAGTTACTAAAAACATACCATACTGACGCCATATTTTCCAACCGCCAGCCTCAGAAACCGGGTGAGGCTCTCCTTGTGGTTCTGAAGATCTGGCAAGAGGAACGACCAGGTGAAAAGGAGTACTCCATCACCTATCTCCGTACAAGGGAGAGAAAATATGCCGATTTCCCACTCTCATCGTTCACTAGGCCTGCAACTTTGGACACCAGTAAAAATGCAGTTCGCCTCGAAGCCCGGTCCTATGCTGGTGCTTCCCGCCGAAAGTCGAGCTTCTTTAGAAAGGGCAAGTATGCCGAAAATATTTTAAAATTATCTACAATTCTGACTCACTGAGAATCTAGAACGCCCAAAGTTGGGATCCGTGGATTCAGACTTTCCTTCAAGCCCCCTGGATGATCCTCTTCTCGGTGTCAAGTGGCTATTGATCCAATTTAGTAGCCGAGCAGGTATTCACTATCCTGACTATCCAACCTCAGCGTTCGCCTGGCTGACATTTCTATCTTACAGACGCAGAAGACTTCACTAGAGTCTTCAACGCGATGCAGCCTATGTCTACCAACTCCCCAAACCTCATACCCATATTCCGAACACCGTCAATGCAGTCAGTTGAGTCGTCGAGGTCTTCACATTCTAGAAGACGTGTTTCCAGCACGCCTATTGTCTCACCCTCGATTCTACCGGAGGAAGGTCCCCCGTCAAGGCTAACTGAGAGCCCGTCGCCGAGGCTACGGCCCCAGCCAGACATCAATTAACCGATATGTCTGTCTAAGAAATTTTAGAAGTGTATATATTTATATTTAGGATATATATCCAAGATGGTCTTCCTACTTTGTTATCCATCGCTGGTACCATTTCCCTAAAAAACCACCGCTTCGACCTGGGCTACGCATCAATGATATCGGTTGGCACCACGATTGATTTGAGATGGGCTTTCATTTGCATTGCAGAAAATATTTTGTTATTTGCACGCTAGCTTCGATCTCATGTGACCACCCAATGCAGGAAAAATCATACTATAAAAAACGTATACGGTGCTGATGTCCAATTTTAAAGAGTAAACTCCTGACTGACAAGGCCCTTTCCATTGAAAGAGTACAAAGAGAGGAAACGAGAACTGTCAATGGTATGCAGGCCAGGCCAATGCGACCCAAGGCCAGACAAAACCTGAGCGGCAGACCACGATTCTCCGTTATTGGTGCTGATGATAATCTTCTGCTGGCCACCGTCGACATCGGGAAGCTCAGGCTTGGCCTCGTTGCTCATGAAGTTAACGACAATAGTGCTGCCGACGTAAATGATCTGAGGAGCACCAGCTTCGTTGCCGCTGGTGGCAGCATAGATCTGCCGGCGACTTCCCCAGGTCATACCGTCATTAGTAGATACCATGGCGTAGATGCCCATATGTCCTGTTAGGGGGCTTTCGAAGACGACCCTGTAGACAGATAAGTTAGCAATGAATTATAAACTAAGGCATCACAGATTCTGCTTACATTAGCTGGTTGTTACCAATCTCAGCGACACCCGTCATGCCGTCACGAGCTGTGACTGCAGAACCAGTGACGAGGATAATTGAAGACCAGTCTTTGCCGCCGTTGGTGGATTTTCTCATGATATTATCCTGATCCCCATCATTGTTCTCGGCAGAATAATAGGCTTGAATAGATCCGTCCTTGGCAATCCGCAAAAAGGGCTCCCATAGGCCGTTCTTTGGCGTGACCGCAGCGCGCTCATCCAGCTGCGAAAGAAAGTTCCAACTAACACCGCCATCAGTCGACTCGCAGACGGTGAGTCGGTAATAAGTGAGCTTTCCCGAGGCATCCTTGTCGTGGTTTCGGAAGGCCATAAGCAGCCGGCCGTTGACGTTGAGAGGAAACGCGTTGCTCAAGTCGGTTTCTGAGGCAACTCTGTCTGCTACAACACCAAGACGAGTCCACGACTTGCCATTGTTGGTGGACTGGGCTGAACGAATGTAGGCTCGACCGTTCTCGACGCTGGAATAGCCAGCGATTAGGACGCCATCACGGAGGGTGACTCGCATATTGGCGCCTGCAGAGTCGACCACGACGGGGTCAGCAACGGGTGTGACATCGCGCTTGTCCAGACCAGCGATGGGGACGACAGCGGCGTTGGCGAGAGTGCTGAGGGCCAGTGCAGCCGTGAAGAGGGATCGTAATAAACGGACCATTTTACCGACGGTCCTTAGACGAGTTGGTAGCGAGAGGAAAGAAGGTAACGTGTTGATAGGCTAACAGAGACGTCAGGGGAAACCCATTTTATATACCCGGATATCAAGATCGGAATCGAGAACCACTACGAAAAGTCCGGTCCACTACCGCACCTCCAAGTCTCACTCTTCAACCAACAGTTGCCTTTCATGGCACTTGCCCATGTCGTCGCTCGAAGGATCCGCTGCAAGGGGCAGCTCATCAGCCGCCTCAATCTCACGCGGATTTGTCAGATTTACCCAACCTTCGTTGCCGGAGCCCCAGATATCAGACTACACGAGTCTTGGCGTTTACCGGCGCCACATCACTGCAGGAATATGCACGGGCCGTGTTTGAGAATACGCGCCTTTGAACATCCGGCCGGTAGTGGGCTTTGTGAAGAAGAGTGCGGCAGTTGGGTGTGGCCTACAAACATGGGGGGGTTTCGTCGGCTGATACTAAGCCATTGCAACCTAGCGCTTACTTCTACACGTCACGTTCATGCAACCCACCGGCAGGTTTCTCCGAGCTAGCTGAGGATCCAATAGCAAGAAAAGATGATAATAGCCAGCCAGTTTTCGTGTCATATGCCTGGACAGTCTGATGGCGGATTAAACTCACGAATCTGTAAGATTGATAGGGGGTTGAAGACCTCAGTTGAAGAGAGTTGATAACTAGACAAGTCAAGTGCCTATTACAAAGGCAACCGTAGCATGTGGTTTCCCAAAAGCGTAGCAAGCTAGATCTGATCCTGGTTATTTTAGGGAGATACAACAAACTACCTGCCAGGGAACTTCCCAGCCGCTCTACCTTGAAGGGTATAAATATGGTTGTAGTGTTTACATGAGACTGTAGGTATCGATATAGTCGCATATCAACCACAGCTAACTGACCGTCCCTCCCCCTCTTCCCTTTCTCCTCCATACGCTATTTATAGCTAGAAAACCCATCAAGACAAAATCATGACATCAAACATTTAGATTGTAAGTAGTGGTCATGTTTAGACAGCGCGGCCAATGGCGCTTATTTCCGGCGTGACGGCAGGCGCTCCGCAATACGCAATACGCGTCTACCTGTGAGAGATCGAGGAAGTTGTGCTGATGTAATAACTGTGCCCATTTGTATGACATGAAGTGACGTATCGATCGTCACGGTTTAAGACAAAAGAACTTTTTGGAGACGCTTTCTCGGGTTTTTTTTTATTTGCCACATAATTCGAGCAGACTGATGACACAGAGATCTAAAGAAATTTGAAGCGGGAGTTCGAATTTGCCGTCGAATTTCCCGCCGAAGAATAAGCCAAGACCTAATTTCGGACTTCCGACTCGGCAACACAGAAATAGCAATGGCTGTGGGCCTGGCCAGCCTTGGTGCTCAACAGGGATCGCGATAATTATTAAAAACTGCAGGTGTGATCTGAAACAAATACGAAGAAATAAAGGCTCTCAAGGCTGTACCACTAAGGTTTCACTTGCGACCTTCCGAACTGGGGGACTGGTCACTTGGACCAAATTGGCCATTTTGGGTGTCTGGTTCACTATACAACGGCGATTCGCGGATAAATCTACTTATGGAGCTGCGAATCCTGCTCTCAGGCGAGATAAGTGCTGTTAGTTACGACAAGTGTACATGCCTGGAGAAGCTTGACTTATACTGAGCACTTCACATTCACATTTCGAATTGCGGATGACAATCGATTGCAGAACAGGAGGAGGGCTTGGTCTAAGGTCTCACTTCTTCCTTGGACTAAAAAATTCTATGGAGATTCTTAAGGTAAAAGCTTGGAATGGGCTAACTAGTATCGAGGAGTCGGGAAAGAGGCGAGACGAGTCTGGGATCTACGCAGCAGCGCATACGACAAACGTCTCCTGCAAGCCATGGGACTTTGAGTACTAGAAAGAGAGAAAACAACCTTTAGTTCTCCTGCAGGGCCTTTTTGGTTTGTCTGCTTAACAAGAAGCTCAAAGCCCCTGGAAGGATCTATTAGACGATGTCCTCCGGTCATCAATCTGTATATAGACACAACATTATTCGGTGTAGGGTATGAAAAACATACAGGCCCTAATATGCTATTCCTCAGGAGATACTCAGTTTCCGTATGGCCAATCCTCGAAAAAGTTAGTCAGGCTTTGGCTAACCGAGCATGCTATGACAGTTCCATGGTCCTCTCCCTGGTAATTAGTCATGGAGAGATTCTTCAGAGCACCACTCTTTTCTAGGCGGGAGTGCATAGCAAGCGCATTGGTAATCATTTGTGCCGGATTGTATTTCTGCTTTCTCCCCTCGTACCACTCGTCTGGCTCATCTTTACGTCGCGTTGGGTCTTCCTCCTCACTTCCAACAGAGATCCAGAGAGATGGCGCGACTTTCTGATTATCCTTTTCCTTCAGGAAGACTTGCTCTTCTTGTAGGATGAACTTGTTGTGCCACCAGATGCTGGGGCTACTTGCGATGAAGGTATCAAACATGGTTGGCCGCGTGAAACAGAGGTGCAAAGAATGGAGTCCGCCAAAAGAGTGTCCGTAAATAGCCTCTCGTCCGGGACGGGCCCCGCGGCGCTCCTTCAATCGATTGTGAACAAGCGGCCTGACGTGATCTTGAATCATGTCGGCGAACTCGTCGGCGCCACCTTCGTTTGGGCCACAGCCAGGTGCGGGAGGGGTCAGGTCATGGACTCTTCGAGAATCCAGTAGCAACTTTGAGTCTGGCTCAATATGGAAGCCTATAGACACGACGACGCTTTCTGGGAATGGGCCCGGTGATGCACAGAGGCGCCGATGAAGTGCGTCGAGGGCAGTCAGGAAGACAGAATTTCCATCTGTGAGATAACTGCAGATCCATGTCAGTTGGTCTTGTCTTTGCGTACTGCCGACGGAAGAAAGGAGTCGTCTTACCAGATGGGAACGGGGGCTTGATCAGGCTGCTTTAGGCTTGGATTTGAGCCATCACCCCAAGTGCGAGGAAAGCCGATTTCAATCAGATACTCTTGGCCTGATGCATTTTTGACTGACCAAGCCTCAGTTGAAGCGAGGTATGTCGACGAAGATCGAAGCGTTTGACTCATGGCTGCATAGAGTATGGAAGGTTTGATTGAGGGGAAAATCCATTGTTTATTCGCGCAATGTCATTATTACTGGCGACGCAGTCTCCAGTGATATTATGTGGAGGACATCCACGGAAATATCTGATCTGATTAGATCCCTGCTTGCCATTGGCGCTAACAGCTCAACTCTGCATTAGTCTTGCTCGCATTCGTGGTATAATCGTATAAATTTGTCATTGTTGGGGCAATATTTAGGTGGCCAATATGTGCCGTTGACCATAGTCAAGCCTATGGTTGATCATACATGATGTAGTTCTTTCTTGAAACTCCACCTGGAGCAAAGGACATTTGATAATACCTGCCTAGCTTACTCTCAAGAACATATCCCATGTGGGCATTTGTGTTTCCTTCATTGCAGCAACTCACTATGAGGGTATACTCGGACCCACAAACACAAGAATGGGTCAGAACGCATTTGCTCGCTTTAAAGCTGTAGTCTTTCATGACAATCTTGATACCTCTGGGTTCTCTGCAGCATAATTCTCGTTAATAGAACGCGGGGATGGAAAAATATCTAGGACATATATAGCATCTTAATTAGGCCGTTGATATATTAATTAAAATTGTTTTATGCTAGTTAAAGCCTATATAGGGTAAGGGCATCTGTCTATATTACTAGGTTATTAATACAAAAGGGAAAAGACTTTGATAGAAGAGAGTTCGAGATTTTCTATTGATTCGAGAGGCGATCCATTAAGCAGAATGACAAACGGCATATCTCTTACAAAACTGCATGGTAATTATATAGAAGGCGGGAATATCCAAGGGAAGGACCAACCTTTAACTTAACATACCTAAATTGCATCAATGAAATAATCATGTCTAAGATATAACAAGCTAAGCTATTATTAGGACTAGAACCCTCACGACGGTCTCATATATCGGCCCCGCTAAGTGATATCTGGCTAGACTTATCCCTCAAATCGACGAATTTGACCTGCTCTATGACTAGCAGTTGCGTTAAGACCAAATCATTGTTGGACACTGGCAATAACAATCGCAATAGACGCTGCAACAACTTGTGCAAATGCAAGGCCAATTCCCCAATCACCACCTCCCACCCTCCAGAAGACTAGGCCAAGCCAAATGGCGGCAATTCCAAACCAAACACACGAGACTCTATATGGTATTTCTATCATTCGATCGGTCTGCCATCCCAGCACGAAGCGTAGGCCTCTCATCTGATCCGTTCCCCGGAATAACTCATACGGAAGAGGTAGCACGACTTTGTTCTCGCCCCTAATTAGGTCAGAATATGATCGTTTCTGTAATGAGGGGAAGAAAGATGGAAAGAGAAGGCGTGATGAATACTTTATATCGTAGATGCAGCTCTCCTGCGCCAGACCTTCCAAAGTATGCAGTCCATTGGCACTCGCCGAGTCCCGGGCAGAGACCTTGAGGAGCGATAGGAACAGAAGCCGGTTGCGGCGCCGTGCCGCTTTCTCTGCGTCAACCCTGATACATGGCTGTGACCACTCGTGCATGCCAATTAGGCATTTCTTACTGTGAGTGTCATCGTCTAAGCATACATCGTCCATGTCAAAGTATGGATCTGCTGGATATCTTGCTATAATCTCCTCGCACTCCTCTAAGACCTTGTCAAGCTGAACTGATTCCATCTGGATAGGATAACGCCCCTTCGATTCGACAACACCGGCAAAATAAAACTGTATATTCAGCGTCAGGTCTGTCCACCTACATCATGGGTCTAATCTTACGTTGACCTCTAGCACTTCAGTGATTCCGTAGTAAGGCAGCCATCTTTTCCAAGAGCCGAGATGCTGGTAGCATGTGTCCGTCAACCTCTGATATATATCACTATCCGACTCGCAGGCACTATCCCAAGGTATCATCTTCTCATAGATAGGTTTCGGATTGTCAGAGAAACAATCAGAATGCCCTTTCACCCGGCGGGCCCTCGTTGGTCGAAGACACGGCACAAGAACAGCGTATTGTCCATGTCTATGGCTCTCTAGGCAGAGGAAGCAGCCATGCCCCGCGCGATCTCGAAAGTCTGCCGTGTTTTCAGCGACGTGCGAAGAAGTGCCGAGGCTGGTGACGAGCTGGAGATCAATATCGTGCATGGGGATGATAGAAGACATTTCTAATCAAAGCAGCGGGATTGTGGCTTGAAATCCAATGTGGGTTGAACAACGTTGTTGTGATGATGAGGACGGACCCCGCTTGATGCCTGAAGGAAAGAGTCGCGTGACTTATTGTGGCTCGGGATCGATTGTGGCTTTGCAGAAAAAAGAACAGGTCACATCCAACCGCTACTACTCTGCAGTCGCCCGCCAAAAGTCATCGCTGGAGTAGATGTAGACCTGCTTGCCCTTACCAAGTGAAGATGGCTGTTAATGGCTTTGATTTTGATCCAGGAAAACTAGAGAGGCTTGAGAATCAATTTATGAAAAGTAAAAGGAATATTATTTGCGACATTGCCAATATTGAAGGTCAGGTTTGGTATTTCAATATACACAACATCAGTGGATTAGAACTCCCGACCGACTCTTAGATACCGTCAGCCAACTGCACTAGCTTTGTAATAGCATCTTGACAAGATCCTTAGTCCTCCTGTTGACCCAATCTAGAGAGTGTCTCCAATCCACCAAATTTCGATTTTACACGCAACTCATTGTACTTTGTCAAGACAAGCTACAACAACAAGTCTAGACTTCCCGTACACGATATTTTCCGTCCTCTTCGTACGCGTTAACATGATATTCTTTGAACCTTCGTGTCGGTAGTTTTGCCTCAAACATGATGTCGAGCTCTTCATAGCTTCGGCCCTTGGTCTCGGGCTGGCGGAAAAATGCCCAAACCACCGTGAGGAACGCAAAGGCGAACCAGAAAAAGCCAGTCTTGCCTAATAACTAGGGTTAGCCATAACGAAACAGTCAAATGTGACAGCGGCACTTACCCTTCCAGTTCCAAGCGCTGGGGTTCATCATGTATGGTTGGATGACGTTGGCCACGATTTGAGCAACGTAATATGCTGTTCTCGCCAGGACGACAGTCTTTGAGCGCAGACGGGTCGAGGAAACCTCGGCAGGGATCGCCCAGCCAACAGGTCCCACGGTAAGCGAGAAGGTCAGGAGCCAGACGATGCACAGCGCAGACTGCACCCACTTCACTGCGGAATTATGGGTGTCAATGGCCAAACAACCGATGATGAGGAGCCAGACGCTCATGGCAGACATGCCAGTCATATACAGGGTCCGCCTCCCAAAGTGTCGCATCAGAACCCACGATACAATCGTGCCACAGAAGGCGATGCCTGTGCCTCCCACGTTTAGATTATAAGCCGTCTCAGAGTCCAAGCCCGCCTGTTGGAAGAAATATGTTGCAGAATACGCGAACTGCGCACCGCAGGTGATCTGACCGAGAAAAGAGACGCAGGCAATCTCCGTGCGCCGTAGGTCGACTCCCTTGAAACAATCCAGGTAGGAAGTGCCTTCGGCCATGTTGCGCTCGGTCTCGTTGGTGTGAATCATAAGAGCAACCAGAGGCTTCGCCTGGGGTTGTTCATGTTTCGCCATAAGTCGGAGGGTGCTCTTCTCAGCTTCTGCAAACTTGCCGCTTCTTACCAGGTACCAGGGTGACTCGGGCATAAAGAATGAGCCAACAGCTAGGATAGGTATCCAGAGCCATTGAAGAGCAAAAGGGATGCGCCAGGACCAGTCGTCTTGGCGGTCGATGAAGCTTTTGAGGACCCCAGCGCCGATGAGTTGGCCAGTGGCGAAGCACATGTTGGTGTACGCCGTGAGATACGCCCGAAGCGGAAGAGGGCACAGTTCGGAAGCGTAGGCAGGGCTAATGGTAGCAAAGATGCCCCAGAGAATTCTGCAGTAGCCATGGTCAGCAGGGACAATCTTGTTTTCGATCGAGGACCAGAAAACGCTTACCCGCATAAAATCTGACCAACAGCTTGGAGCTCGATGGACATGCCGAATACAGAAATAAAGACAAAGCTCGCCATCAGCAAGACGCCAAGCATAAAGGCTGGTCGGTAACCGAATCGTTGGATGACGAAGCCATTTAATATGGCTCCAACGATGGCACCAGCTTGAGGTCCGCTGCCCATGGCGCTCTGCCACTTGGCCTCGATTTGGTAGGTGTCCGTTGCTTCGTTGATTCCTCCAAATCGGCTGGCGTAGGCCGGATAGGCGTACAGCGAGCCAATGAGGATGGTATCGTAGCCTTCCATAATGATAGACATGGACACAACAAGAGACCAGAAGATTGCTCCAGGATAAGACTTGATGGCCTGCCTCACAGTTAAGGAGTGCTCGTGCTCATTTGCCGCCTTGGCATCATCCATTGTCGCTGTCCAAGAACCCTGCTTCCAGGTCAGCTGTTCTTGAACGAAGTTCGTGTCAGGATGCCTGACTTTCTCATCGTGTTCGGCCGCTAGGCTTATCGATCCATCCTTTGGAGCCGCCATTGTGATAGCGTTCACGTAAAACAAGACTCTTGTTCGTTGTTAGATGGGTTTTGGTGAAAATGGACTGACGTGCAACTGCTGTTGAAGTCAGCGCCCCTCAAGAGTGAATATGTGCCTCCAACTTTACTTCTGTTCTCCAGGGTCGTATTCCTCCAGTATCATTAGGGCAAGAGCGACTCATTATAAGTCGGTGGAGAAGCGTAGACCGACGGCCTGTTTCCTGCCACAGTTTTGACCATACAATGTTTGTCCGGGGTAAACAAGAGGGGAAACATGTATCAATCCTAACCCTTGGCGTACAGCGCTACCTAGTTTGTGCCTAGTAGAGGGAAAGAGACCGGCTCATCACCCGATCCCACGGTCTCATTTTGCGGGGGCGGGTACCGGACTGATAATGTGGAGGAGGAGGATGGCGCATGGATTCACAATCCACCCCCACAACATTTTTCCGGATGACGCCTCCACTGATGATCAGGTATGGTTGCAACGCACACCGTAAAAGAGGAGGCACGGAGAACGTCACCCTTCGCGTATAGCTGGAAGGATAGTACGTGAGTTCCGCTTTGGTATATGTATACTCTGCCATACATTCTTCTGACAAGCAAGTCTCCTTCCAGTCTCATCACTCGACCATGTCTCAACCCGACCTCAAGATAGAGACTCCCGCACCTTTCCGTTGGTCTACTGATGCTTTTGACATCGACTTTGTTCTTGACGCGAAGAATGTGGTTGCTATACGTCGTATCGTACCAAAGGGGAAACACTTGGAACAGGGAGCAACGCCAATCCCTTCATCCGATGTCCCTCTAATAAATGTCAAGCTGGTTGGAGAAGGGAACACTTCCAACAAGACTGCCAAATCTTTAATAGGAAGCTACCTTTCTGCCCGGATGCGGTACAAAAGTCATGAAACTCACATTGAGGGCTCTGAGCAAACCCTTGTTATTGAGACCGCGGACGACCTAACAAAGGTTCACATTTCCGTGCGCCTCGTTGTTTACGGCAACATCCCTGTACTTCGATCGTCAGCCACCATTACGAACCAATCTGACGATGCTACGATTTGCGTCACACAACTCTCGTCGTTGTCCGTAGGTAACTTGGTACCTGTCAGGGACTGGCATAAAGAGTACACCCTCCATACGGCCACCAATTCCTGGTTCAGAGAGGCCCAGTGGTCGAGCCACACCCTGCCCGAGCTCGGTATCGACTTGAACGGCATCTGCGAGCTCCCTGATGGACACACGGGCTCTCAGGCTAGCTTTAGTCTCCAGAGTCTGGGCTCATTCTCCACTGGAACCCATCTGCCAATGGGAATCCTGAAATCCAAGCACGACACGGATACTTGGCTGTGGCAAGTCGAGCATAACGGTTCCTGGAGGTGGGAGGTTGGCGATTATAAAGATAACCTCTACCTTGTTGCGGGCGGGCCTGTTGGAGTCGCCCACGACTGGAAGCTGGTCCTCGACCCCAAGCAGAGCTTCACTACTGCCAAAGTGGCTGTGGCACGAGTCTTTGGCGGCATGGAAGATGCCTTTGCCGCGATCACCAGCTATAGACGGCGTATTAGAAGGCGCCACACTGACAGTGACCGACTGCCTATTGTCTTCAACGATTATATGAACTGCCTGATGGGCGACCCCGATGAAGAAAAGATAAAGGCTTTGATTGACCCCGTTGTGAAATCTGGAGCCGAGTACTTTGTCATTGATGCTGGTTGGTATGCGGATGACAGCAACTGGTGGGATGATGTCGGCCTGTGGGAACCTTCACTGAAACGGTTCCCCTCAGGATTCAAGGCACTATTAGATGAGATTAGATCAAAGGGTCTAATTCCGGGGGTTTGGCTTGAGCCTGAAGTTGTGGGGGTTCGCAGTGTCGTTGGCCAACGGCTGCCCCGAGAAGCCTTTTTCCACGAGAATGGGCAGCGGATCGTCGAGAAGGGAAGGTTCCAGCTCGATTATCGATGTGAACAAGTACGCACCTGGATGGATCAGGTCGTGCATCGACTGGTTGTTGACAATGGGGTTGGCTTCTTCAAATTCGATTACAACATCGAGGTTCTGCAGGGAACTGATGTTCACGGGCCGTCGTCCGCAGGAGTCGCGCACCTAGAACACCAGCGGGCATACCTCTCGTGGGTTGAATCTCTCTTCGATCGTTATCCTGATCTGGTGATTGAGAGTTGCTCGAGCGGCGCACAACGTCTGGACTATGCCATGCTGTCCGTACATCCCTTACAATCAACGAGCGATCAACAGGATCCTAGTCTTTACGCCGCTATTGCTGCAGCTATGCCGGCTGCCGTAACACCAGAACAGAGCGCATCATGGGCCTACCCACAACCCGAATGGTCTGATGAAATCAATGCGTTGACGGTCATCAATAGTCTTATGGGGAGGGTGTATTTGAGTGGTCGCCTCGACAAGCTCAGTGAAGAGCAGCTTCAACTTGTCATCGATGGCATGAACGTGTACAAATCAATACGTCAGGATCTGCGGGATTCTCAAGCTACCTGGCCTCTGGGCTTACCCGGCTGGCATGATGAATGGCTTGCTCTTGGGCTTGTCGCAACTTCTGGCTCGATATACCTGGCAGTCTGGCGCAGGGGTGGACCAACCGAGATGCAAATTCCTATCCATCAACAATCCGTCAGTGAGAAAGACGGCCGTGTGGAAGTTCTTTACCCAAAGAAGATGAGCACTGGGGTCACCTTGAAAAAGGGAGTCTTGAAAGTAGAGCTGCCTGATGTGGTGTGCGCCAGGTTGTTTTTGATCAGTAACTGAACTGACAATAATCACCTTACCTACAATAACTATGCACTTTCATTTTAGGACTTCGATAGATTGATAACGAAGCATTTAATATCACACTGCTACCAGATTAGAATGAGCAACACATAATTTGGAGGTCCTCGCATTCTTTGCTTCAGTTCTACAATGATTCTGGACCCCAGCGGAGCAATGAAATTTCATATATCCAATACGCGCATCTCAATTGCTAATATCCCTGATTTCATCGTGACTTGTTACGTTCTCGATTCATCCATAGACTTGCTGCGTCTTGCGTATACGTAGTAGAAAATGGGATTGTAGTGTCGCAACCTTACCTCACCCAGGGGCGATTACAGCAAGTGACTTCAGAACAGAAGCGTAAGCCCCAGCTAGAGACCAAACTTTTGGACCTTGTAAGAGTATCACAGCACCTTCGTGCAAGATCTGCAACGACCCTTCCAGGGAGCACAAGTCGTCTATGCCCTCAAGATGAACGCGCATCCCTTCACCTGATCGAATAAAGTGCTGTACAAGTTCATCGTCCAGGGGTCGATCAACTTGAATCATACGGGGCATTCGCCTTCTATTGCCTACATCTTGCTCTTGCGAGCTCAAGGCTTCTAACCCTCCTGGCAAGACCTGCGGCCGGGATTCTAGCTCGCCCGCCATGTCTAGCTGAGAATCGGAGTGAACAAACGCCGAGGCAGTCCCAAATGTCCAGAGAACTAGAGTGGCGAGGAAGATTGTATATGGATCCGCAAATGATCCAGAGGAGTACCGCCTTGTATGCCAAAATACGGCCCCGGCGTGTATAGTAGCCAACCGAGCTTTGTAGCGATCTTGACAGAACCAGGTAAGCATAGTTCTACGCCAGGATGCCTCGTTCCTCGGATAGTAGTACAGTGTGTGCGGGAGAAGTTGCGGCTTGGATGCTTGCGTGACATCTGTGACGTGATCGAGCAGCTCTCGAACGGGAGCCAGGATCACAAGTCTTGCTAAGTGCAGATGAAGAAATATCGGGCCTTCTAAGCCGCCGGACTTGATGGAGGCGCTCAAAGCCTCCCAGTGCAAGAGGTCCAGTGAATCACAGGTCTGGTTGCGCCACCGTATGTATTCAGGAACAGCACCGCAGTACTGCGGCCTTTGGCCGGTTGAAGGCAACAAGTCCTTGATGTAATGAACCATGGTCCATCGCTTGCGTAAAAGGCCGAACAGCAGAACCAGAGTGGCAAAGAAGGACGTTCCGGACGGCGGGGGTTCGCCGCGCCATAGCTTTTGCGTAAGGTCAACTGCCATGTCTCGTGATGTTTCCTCACTGGTCATTGCGACCCCGGAGCTCTCCTTGCCTGACTGCGAGTTTCGAAGGCACCACTTTTGAACGGTCTCGGCCTGCCACAGTCTCTCGCAGCAGGGTAATCTTAGCTTCAATGCATGAGGCGGCAGGGTTGGCTGGTTCTCAGAAATAAAGGCGAGATAGCAGTCAGTCAGCTGCACGAGCGCAAATCAGCCAATCTACTTCCAAGAGACGCCATGTCTAGTCTACTTACCCAGATGAAGAATCCAGTCCTCCGCCGTGTTTCCCGAAACCGCCACGCTATCCAGGTTCTGTCCAGGTCTTGTCCCTGTTCGTAAGCCCCAATGTGGTCATCTTCGCTCAGAATACGCAGCTGCTGGCAGGAATTTGTCACAAGCGCCCACGCGGCGAAGCCAGCCTTGAGGACATCAGGTTGCTGGCTCTGGCACATACCAGAAGCTGCCAAGGCTCGTGCCTGAAGATATGGGAGCGAATCTTGAGCCTTTTGGAAGTGGAGCTAGAGCCGATGAGTGTGAGTGATCTCCGTGTTGAGAGAAGGGGTGCCTACCTCGCCGAGAAGCAAGTTATGGAGGACGTGACAGAGTTCTTCGCTCAGTTGCGTGAGTGGTGCCAAGCCAAGGTATCGAGCACCATTAGCAGCGACTGCCAAGGTCAGACTCCAGCCCCATACGGGCATGAAAAGAAAAGACCAGTCGATGAACGGATAGATTTCATGAAACGTCTTGAAGTAGGACCTCAGAAACAGGCTCAACGATGACTTATTGAGTAGTAAAGATTTGTAATGGAGAAATGAATGCGTAAATGACTGGCTCCCTGGCTGGGGGCACAGCCTCAAAAGTATCTCCTGGAATATGTCCTCTGGGACGATGAAGCGAGAATCAGGGTCACGCTCATTCTCCTCTACCTTTGTAGCGAGGGCTGTAAGCCATGGTTCCTGGCCTTCTTGAGCAGTTGGTGAGGTCTCGGTTGTGCTAGCTAAATGACGACGGTGGAAGCAACGGTCAGCCTGACTTGATCTGAAACCAGCTCCGCTGGAGTAGAGACTGCTGAGTTGGTCGGAGGACGAAGTAGCTTCCAAGGCATACGAGTCGTAGTTCTCAGCCCATTCCTGCTGGATACCGCCCATGGATTGGATTAAATCAGATAGATGATTGTGGTGCGATGTGAAGTTGTTGTCTACACTCAGATGCTCGGAGTGGTATTGGGATGGTGTAGCCTGGTCACGTCCTGCTCCTGGCGGCATCGCTGAAGCATCCGCCACATACATTGGCGGTGTAAGCTCAAGTCCGCTCAATAGTGGAAAGTCGGTGAGAGAATCGTCGAAGGGTAGCCAATTCATTGCCAATGGTTGCTCAAGCGGTGCGGGTGGCGTGGGCGGCTGAGAAGTCATGTCCTCGTCCCTCGCCCCCGTGAGAGGCAGAAGCTGTGTCTGGCCATCCGCGTTGATGTTGGGAGGTTGCCAATCGTCCATTCCCGCTGGTGAAGTGAGCATGCTGTGTGTGTCCTCCGAAGATTCGGCATGGTCCATGTCAGGCAAGGTCTGTAGTCGTATGGACTGTCGCCCCTTGGGCTTCCGCGGCAGATAGATACACCTGAAGGCCTTGATGGTGCAATTGGAACAGGGCGCTCCCCCCGAGCACTTGATCCGGAGTTTCGCACATGCAGAGCAGCTCTTGCGGAATCGCTGGCTACCACTTGGCTCTAGGGGAATTTCTGCTGTATGAGTCTGTTCGTGGCGCTTTGCCGAATCCCTCGACACAAGGTTCAGCTCGAGCATATGAGGGCGCGACTGGATGCTGGAGATGCTCACCTGCGACCGAAAGATTTTCCACAAAAGGTGCAGGAAACGGCCTTTTCTTTTAGGTGTATGCGGCTATGTCGCGTGAGATGATCAAGTCTTGAGAATTCCTTTTGACACTGCCAGCATCTGATCGTAGGCGCGTGATCGTCCACACCGGATGCGCCTATGCCTATTGAATCTCCCATTCGTTCTCTGAGAACGTTGGCAAATTGTAAAGCCTCACTCGTACCTGTATGCCCAGACGAAACGATGAAACAGGGTGAACTGAAGTCGAGCATCAGGCATGTCAGGGGAGAAAACAAGCATGGGGGCCCTCAAAACGTGAATGCCAAGGGTTAAACAAACCTGGGGTAATTTCACATTGCCGCACCAGTCACGACTCTTTACCTTTAGAGAGATTTGGGTCCATTGTGGAGAAAAATCACGGGGTCAGTCTACATCCTGGTAACGTTTTTCAATAGTTTCTCCACACGTTGACATTGTAGACGAGCCGAGACCAACTTGACGAGTCAATCTGAGCTACTCAAACTACGTTCTTTAATCGTTGTAGACCCTGCTGCCCGATCGAGACCTTTAAAATTCAACCACATATCGTTCGACGGACAGGCATGCTCATATTCATGGGGTATGAAAAAGAATCAAATAGGCTAAATAGGTACCGCTTGGTGAACCTGTAGTGGTCAGGATAGAGACAATTTGATAATAATTGGGTAGTTCATTAGCTTCTGTTCTACAAGAGTTGTCCACCAAAATGATAGCGGCTGTGTTGGTACTTGAGACTAAATATAGCCTCTGTCCAACTCCTCCTATCGCTTTTGATAGTCAACATTGCACTCCTGCATTCTCAAAAAAACGACCTTTGAGACGAATCTTGATAGAATCCATGTTCAGGAGAGAAGAATCTCATAAGCAAAAGCCGTAGAGCTTGTTGGTGGATCATGGGGGATAATGAACTGAATAAATTTGTTAGCGGGTTTGTTGCTTACTTTGCAAAGAGCGGTCTTACCTCGTTTCCAGAGTATTCGTAAGTGTACGTTCCGACATCTAGTTTATCATGAATATAAACGTCCTTTCCAGCCCAATCAAATTGGTACCTCTGGACCGTGACGGAGCCTGCATCTGGAAGTCCGAGCTGGTCCAGTCCAGTAACCTTGATGTCGTAACGCGCCTGGACAGTTCTCGTGCCCGCGAGAAGCTTGAGACGATCGGCTGTTTTAACGGCAAAGACGTCGAACTTGAGATCAGAAGCTGCCGAGGTGACGACGCGCTCCCCCTCCATACTTCCGTAATACTTATACAACTGCCACTCTCCGTTGGGGAAATAACCATTTCCATTGTTCCAGATCAAGTAGCCCATGTAGTCATGGAGGGTAGGGCCTCCACCCCAGTTGGCGCGCAAGCCACGAATGTCGTGACGCTCGAGTTGGGCAAGATAGTAAGCCGAGTTGGCAGGGTTCTGTTCGTCAGGCCACGCGTACTCGTTGACGTCGATCGGTCTCTCCGGCAGGTTGTACTCGGCCAGAAGGCTCTTTAGAGCTGGGACCGTCGTATCAGGCTCCCTCTCCCAAGCACCGATTTGGTGCCAGGAGTAAATATCGGGCACAGCGTTGCCTGCCGATACGCCAGAGAGCCAAGCGCGCCAATTCTCACTGTCCACGTGTGGCGAGTGCGCCGAGGATGGGCCACTGATTTTGACCTCGGGATATTCGGCTCTAAAATTGGCATAAGTCTCATGCACAATATTTATAGACACCTTTAACCGGGGGCCGCCATAGGTATGCTTACCTTAGAAGTTGAGTAGCGCGCACAAAGTATTCGACATACTGAGACCACGGACGATCCCAGAAAGTATCAAGATCAGGTTCATTCCAAAGGTCAAACACCACGCCGTCAATCATGTTGTGCTCTTTGACATCAGCGACGATTTGACGTAGGAACTTCTCCATCTCGGACCAATCTCCATTATCGCCGGGAAAAGGGAAACCTTCGGGGGCACCGCCTTGGGCACCCCAAAGGTCAGATGGCATCAGCAGGTAGCCATCTCCACCGTAGTTTATGGTCGAACGATAGTTGGACAGCATGGATGCGAATCGGCCCCGATACTGTTCCAACCCCCCAATGGCCCATCCCTCATAGGAAATCTGCGATCCCCCGCCACGACAGGTACGAAACTTGATGTCTTTGACAAAATGTTCCGGGATTGAGGTGTCGGCGCTGTCATTATTGTCTGGGAAGCCGTAGATGAAGCCGGAGCCGAGAAATTTGGTCTCGCCCTGCCTCTGGGCTAAGTTGACAACGGCGGTGCCTGCAACATCCCTCTGTACAACTTCGGCTGGATGGGCGACTGCTGACTGCCCAAGAGAAATGGCGATGGCAGACAAGACTGAGAGCTTCATGACGAAAGGCACTATTCTTTGAACAAAGGTCTAGAAGGGGCAAGCTCTGATTGTGCGGAGTAGTGAGGAGGAAGTGTTTTTGCCAACGGGATGTTGTCCAGTCTTTATCCTCCAAGACTTGCACGCTGCTCTTTGATATCAAGGAGTATATGGGACGACCCCGACAGTGGACAACTATCCTGGCAGGCAGTTTAATGACATCCTTGCTGCTCCCATGCCCATGAAAAAGAAGCGACATGGTCAGGTTTTCCCTCCAAGTTTACCCGCAAGATTCAATCAAAGGTCATGCTAATCATTTTGCCTGAAGTAGCTGTGGGCTCTCTCTACTACTGGGAGGAGTCAAGAGTGATGGAATGCTGTATCCTCACCAATAGACTCAAGAGGAATGGGAGAAGATCCCCATGGGGATGTCAATCCCGGGCACGAAACGAGTTTAACTGGCGGTCTGCGGGGTACATTTGCAACAGTTGTTCTAAGTGGTAATAACAGGTGGTATAGCTCTACCTCCGCCCCCGCAGCGAAACTCCGGTGGGGTAGACTCGTGAGTGAGGTGATTTTAGCGACTGAATTATTCCCATGACACCATTGAAGCCCAGTGACATACTCACACTGCTGAGAACTAGTAAGCATCGCTGCAGGAAAGATTCAGCCTGTGTAGGGCTCATTTTAACCTAGGGCCACCGTGGCTCAGTAGAAGTATGCGAGTCAAGGTTTCAATAATATTCAAAAACAACCTACCCAATCCTGTGTGTTAGGCGAGCAGCGGGCAATATCCTTCGGGATTCACGTTGATTCTAGAGTATCCATATCGTAGCATCTCCAATCTCGTATCAGAGACGGAGCCAATTGATGATTCTTGTTGGATAGAGAAGTACCAGGCTCAATGCCAGCCCTGGATCGGATGTATTTGGGGGAAAAAAGTGCAACTCTCATTCACAGCAGATACAAATTTCTACTATTTAGTACAAAAATAGTTTTTGAGCGTTGGCTCTACCTGACTACGCGTCCCCTTGCCGGGTCACTTCACAGCCACTAGGTTACTCAACAGCCTGATCACGCTGAAAGGCACCACTCCAGCATCAGCTGGACCCTTTGAGTTCAAGACTAGATACAAGTACGCTGGTGCCGTCCATGCCAACCACAACCCGAACTAAACCGCACCAATGCGGCGTTCTGTAATCGACGGCGTGTGGCCAGGATTACGTCCAAGAGAAATCGCGATCGTGTTTATGCGGTCCTCGACCATAGGTCCCACTGGTTGTATAAGAAAGCAGGGAATAGCCCCAGACTGTCTTGCACCGATTCCTGATATTTATGAGTTATTTTGGAGGATTGTATCCCTGCATCGGGGAGCGCTTACCAGATGAAATATCAATCGCAACATGAAAGAGGCCGGATATGAGAAATACAGACCAAATGCGCAGAGAGCGCGTCTGCCATGATTGAGGAATGCGAAGAACCTTGAATAGCAAAAAGTTTGAGATGGTTATAAGCCTATGTGTATTGATCTGGTGCCAAAATACACTATAGGTTTGTAAGCTCAGGATGTTTCGCATGATAGGGATATAGAATAATAAACCTCCAGAAACTTCCTAAGCTGAATACACTGGAAAATGAGCCATTGAACGGAGGCCACTGATTAGGGTCGTGAAGGCCCGATACCACACAGAGAAATGCCAACAGCGAGTAGACGCCACGTTGCACAGATATAAGCCCAGCGCCTAGGCCCATTGCTGCGAAGAACCTCATCACTAATTCTTCAAGTGATACTTCACGCAGTCTAGAGAATAGACCTACTTGATCTAGCCGGTAGAATCTTGCAGTGACATCATAATCTGCTGATACATCCACAAGATCAAGTACCAGGTAGCATATGATGATAGTGGTTCCAGCATTATATAGGAATCGCGAGCGAGACTGTGTTTGTTTCCGCCTGAGCAGGGTTACCCCTCGTGCCTCGTAAGGGGTGTTGAGAAATCGCCATGATGAAAATATGGAAAACGCAAAGGATAAACGGGATAAGAATTGGCCGTTCTCTTCCCGTAATTTGTGACTAGGGCTCGCCGCCTTAGACAGTCCTCGCACCAAGTCGCGCCTCGGGCCGCGAAGATCATAACTCCACTGGCTGATGACACCCACATCCACGTAATGGAATAGAGAAAAATCCCCCAACAGAAGCGGCCCATTAGCTTCTGGGTATGTAAATAGGACAAGTTGTGATGCAATGCCATGTCAGGAGAGTCAAGATAAGAAGGGGGGCTAGCCGGATGAAGGTGGAGGTTGGGGCTAAGGCGAGGATTAGGATGATCAACACAATAACCAATATGCCTTCAATCAACGGGTTGCACGCCATAGTGAAAGGCCTCAACAGTAAGGTGGCTAGGGTAGGAAGTGATTAAAGGCGAGGAAGGAATGGTCGGCATTACCCTCAGGTCTTGAGTGCGTCAGCGTGTGTGATCAGTTTGGTGGAAAACAAAGAGACCGCTGGGGCTTGGTGGGATAAAGAGGGGTAGCAGGCAGTGTCTGTTTTTCAGTGCCTACCTCAGCACCAGCCTGGCTGCATAACTCGCCTTGCCAAGTGCCACGTAATCGATTGATAACATATATGGTGCTGAATGCATTGGGGGCTGGATCAATTACGGGGGTTCCTCAACGAACATGCATGCAGCCAGCGGGGCAATTAGTAGCATTGTGTAAGCGTATGTGTCAGAAGGCGTCGATACTTGATTCGTGTTGCCTTACAGATGAGGTCAGGCTGGTTCGCGTAGGTTTTGCAGACAGGACACATCGCTTGCTAGAGCGAAGATAATGGAGCGGGACATTCCTAGGATCTGCAAGTAAGCTGCATCGCCACGGGGTGTGCAGGAGGATGGCATTCTGATCCGGGCTTCTGCAATGTGGTAGGGACAAGGAGCCAACAAAAGGACCAAAGGAGGAAGATGATTTCGGGGTTATACGGCTACCCCATTACGACGCAAGTGTCTCCACAGAGCTGGTCTGTTCATAGTTCCTCCATTGACCATTGCTGTAACGATTCCTTTATGTGCATTGAATCCTAGCCCTGTCTGAGAATACAATTGACTACGGATCCGTATCGTCAATTCAAACGTAGGAGTACTGTCTAACTATGTGGAATCGCCTGCATACGGTCAACTTCTGCTGTTAACACTGGGTCATCAAGCTCTCTGATCCCATTCTTGACCCAATCAACATCCTCCCCCGAGATCGGATGGCCCTCTCTATAGTACACTGACAATCCCTGGGGCGAGAAGAGCGTCTTGGCAGCAGCCACCACCAAAACTAGCGAGTCTCCTCCCTTGATAGTGCCAAACCCAACAACCTCCCACTGCGCTGACACCATCCTCAGCCACCCCGCGCCTCTCCAATTGAAGAGACCCGGATGCGAGTCTAATGGCGTACTGACCCCCATGGTGGTTGTCTGCTTGAGCGAGCCAATGGTGGTGTATGTCGTTTGGTCATTTAGCGAGCTTGCCGTATTGCTGCTTTGAGTTGTATCGACATAGGTCACTGAGATGCCTTGCTTTTGATCGAGCCATAATGAACTTGAGCTCGCCGCCATCATCCACTTGTGACCCAAGTCATTAAAGCCGGGTAGGTGATCGACTTTTCCGGCGGCATTGGTCTTCCCAAGAAGGGATGTGGATCTAGCAGCAAAAGGCTGAGGCATGGTGGAGGATATGTTGGCGTTAGTTATTCGTATCGATACCGTATAGCTGGTTATTAAGGAGTCCGACAGGATGCATTTCCTTAAGACACATCTAAGGGGATTCTCTGTGCCTTAAGTATTTGAAGTGATGGGGTAGGTAGTAATAAATAAGCCAAGGTCATGCTCTTACTAGGGGCGTGTAACTAGAAAATTGTCTAATAATCCAGAAGGTGGTGTAAGGTGTAATATTAAGCTTACTATAAGGGGGTATAAAAAGGTGTAACATGTCCCATCAGTATACGGGCCAGACTAGTATACGAGCCTTTGTTTTTTAAAGCCAGCTATAGCTTTAAGAGGTACTACGGTGGGCGTTTTAAATGACTTTGTGAGAAATTCCTGTCTTCTTAATCTGCTCGATCGCTTAAGATAAGGAAGATCTTCGTACAATAAATCATAATGTGGGTGATGAAGCTATTAACTAACGCGATAATTGCTGTGTGCAATATGCTCTTTGTTATTATAGTTGGAGGTGTTACGTGCGTGTACAGTTTCCTCTCTCCCCGCTTCACTATCTAAGTAGAGGCTATAGGATGTATGTTCGACTTTTCCTTTTAGGTAAATAAACCCCCAAGGGTCCCAGCAGGTATTAAATAAATCCAGTGTAGGATATCTGTTTTTTTTTTGTAGAATAGACAAACGATAAGTACCACTAATGTCACTTATTTATGTGTCCCGGCTCATATCATCCGAGCCATAGGCCATCTGTAAGGATGATATCATTTCTCGGCCGAGGTGGTCCGATTTACACTAGATAGGATACCACTCTATTTAGATCCCTTGTTTTAATTCTCCATCATTTCAAACTCATGATCTAGAACCGGACTGATATCCATTCCGATAGCACCTAATCCATTACTTCTCAGCATCATCCAGAGGACGCATTCCAAGACCCCCCTCCAAGCCATCCATAATGGAGACAAAATACGTCGACCGAAATATCCCAAAGGTAAAGCCTCCTCGCGCAGTAAATGTCCAGAGCGGGGGCTGACGTAAATATAGATATCGCTTGCCAACTTCGAAGTGCGCATCGATGAAATCACGCAGGAACTGTGCGCTGCGGCTGAAGATGTAGGATTCTTCAGTATTATCGACCATGGCATATCCCAGGCCCAGGTAGACACAATGTTTGCCACATCAGACTCCTTTTTCGCCCTGCCGGAAGACACCAAGCGCACGGTTCCTTGGAATCCTCAGAATGTAGGATATGAGTGCCGATCACAAATACGGCCATCCACGGGAGCACCGGATCAGAAAGAATCGTATCAGCTCCAGTTCGGGGAGAACATGAAGGGCCTATGGATGTCCGATGACCATGTTCCGGGATTCAAGACCAAATCTCTCGAGTTCATGCACAGCCTTCAGAAGGTATCGGAGAGGCTGATGATTTGCTTCGCCAGGGGGCTGGGCTTCCCAGATGATTTTTTTGTCAAGGCCCATGACGTCACCAGGCCAGATTGTCAGACCGTTCTCCGCTTGCTTCATTATTTCGAAACCCCAAAGGACAAAAACAGCCAAACAGCCTATCACCGAGCCGGTGCACACGCCGACTGGGATCTTCTTACTCTCCTGTTTCAGCGTGAGGGCCAAAGTGGGCTGGAGATCTGTCCGGGCAGAGAAGTCGTTACCGACTTTGCTTTAGGAGATTCCTGGACAAAGGTGGAATTTCAGCCCGGGAGCATCATATGTAATATCGGCGACCTGCTCATGAGCTGGTCGGACGATCGCTTCAAGAGCACGTTCCACCGTGTCAAGGCTCCGGAAGAGGAGGGTGATTACTACGGGGAGAGGTATAGCATTGCTTTCTTCAACCAGCCTTGCAAGGACGCGCTTATCCAAGGGCCGAAGAAGAAGTATCCGATGGTGACGGGTCAGCAGTTCACTGCTAATGCTATGGGGCTTCATTACAAAGCCCTGAAGCGTAAATTGGAACAGAACGCTACTGAGCAAGCTATTCAGAGCCAGCAAAAATTGAAGACTGGAATTGCCGTCCAATCTGAAGCTTGAATATCTGTGACTCTAATTGTCACTTTGTAAAGGGTGCAATTCATTCGTCTTCAGAAATTTTAATTTAATATACAAATTTACTTTCTCTTTCCACCATAAACTATTCGAGAGTGATGCCACGCCTTCTAACCATGTGGGCGGTTTAGAATCGAAGATGTACGCTTGTACAGCAAGACTGATCACATCCTCTCCATCAAAGCTACCAGGTGCAAGGTGCTACCCGTTCCGAAGCAAGAATGCTTGGTAATCATCGATATCGGACCTGATGGCAAAGGACCTTTCATCAGATAGTCACAGTAGCATTGGATGGTTGCAATCTCGTGCACATGCTTATTGGCCGATAAGCAGACAGATCTCGGGTTCCTTATCTCGGGTCGGCCGAGGAGACATTGGCCGAGAGGGACACTATAGTGACGGATAATGATGCCCGCCTTTGATCCGGCGTGCGATTAGAAATAAATCAGTATATTTGCAATGGATGGAATATTTGTAGTGGAGAGACATGGGCTGTATATTGTTTCCGGGATACTTTATTTCAATCATCACGGTTCTTACTATTTTTCATGGGCATTGTGACCAACAACCTAAACGCACCCCATTGATCCCATCACTAACATGCCTTCTGCAATAAATACAAGCAGTGCCACATTCACGATTGAGCCTCTTCCTAAAGATGCATCAAAGAAAACAAATTTCGGAGCAGTTATCTATGACCTAGATCTTAGCAATATCAGTGGTATGACTCTTGTCCAGCATTGATAGTCTCCCTCCACTGACCAAACCGACGCAGACATCGATGTAGATGCGCTCAAAAAAGCTATTTGGGAACATAAAGTGGTCATTGTCAAAGGCCAGAAAGATCTGCTCCCACTCAAGCAGTGGGAGCTGGTTACGCGTTTCGACCCGGACGCACCCAAAGTCCACTCGCACGGCAGTCTGAAGACGTTCAACAAACAGGGTGGCATTTTGTCAGTAAGTTACCTTTCATATTAAAAGATCAGACAGCCATTCATTCCATATTCCAAACGGCTCGTTCATGTATTTACTTTCCATCTACTAGGCAAGCCGTGATGTGATTGGAATCCCAGGAGCTGAAAACGTTCGCTTGATCGGCAAAGGCTACCAGGGAGCTGATCATTATGGAATCAAGGACAAGACAGTCAAGAAGCCTCTGAGCCATGACTGGCACGCTACCGAACTCCCAGCTGAAGACTTTGAGAGCGGCCACACTCGCTTTCAAAGGTGGCACATCGATGCCCCTCTCTATGAACGTGATCCCGCATGGTTTACTACCCTCCGGTGTATCCAGCGACCTACATCACCCAAGGTCACCGTTCACTGGGATGATGGATCTGGGCAGACATTGGAGACAGAGCCAGGATTGACGGCGTTTTTCAGCAACGTGCAGACGTACGGCTTGATGACACCTGAAGAGAAGGCGATGGCCGACCACAGCTGGGTTGAATACGCCCCGCACCCGTATCAGTGGATGGGTAGTTGTCGAGGCAATCCCAATGGTCTTGGTGTTGCTTCCCAAGGTTACGAGAAGTCGCTTGAGGAGCTTGGAGAGTGGAACCCCAAGTTTGTGAAGCGCTACCCAATGGTCTGGGTGAATCCGGTCACCGGAGAAAAGGCCTTTATGGTCCATGGCATATGTGTCCGTAAACTCTTCCTGAGGTCTTCAGCAACCGAGGAACCGAGGGTGATCGACAACGTTGAAGAGATTAGAAGCTGGCTCAAACCTATACAGGAGCGTATTCTGCGTCCGGAATACATTATGCTTCCAGAGGTGGAGGAAGGTGATATTGTCATGTGGGCCAATTGGCAATGTTTCCATACCGCGATTGACTACCCGGATGCATATGGTCCTCGAACGATGCATCAGGCTAACGTGAGTGCCTCTTCGGCACCCGTTGGTCCTGTTCCAATCCCAACTTATGGATGAACCAGAATCCTGTTGATCAAGAACCACAATATGCAGACTAATAACTCAAGAGTGCCTATCTTAAAATTAAAGTTGGTCTACGTTGTGACTGAATTACGTTTGAGTATCGCGAATATTATGTACTGTCAGCGAATCGCGATTAGAAGGTTGGTGTCCAGCGAACTTCTTAATCCGAGCTCTGCATGTGGTATCTAGAGAGGTAATAGTCTCGACTATATATCTCAAGTCATCGAGCGACAGGCCTAGATGGAATTATACGCTTTGGGCATATCTTGTTAATTATGGTAGTATTGTAGCTGTTCAAGACGTAGAGAAATGGCGGGATTGGCCCTTCCATGTCGCCTGGTGGTCGCGAACATCCAGTCATTCTTCGACGCTTTTGCCTATGTTAGCCATTTCATATAATTACCAACTAAGCGATTTCGATTATCTTATCCAACCAAAGCTTTTACCCGCTGCAATCACCCAGGATGCAAAATAATACTACACAATGGGAAAAAGGAGCAATTGTATTTATAGCTCAGCTATCAAGTTGTGGTATCTCCATGATGAGCTTAGATCGCGGAAACATGCATAGAAACCTTTTGTGTACTTGAAAGAAAACCACCTCATCCGGAGGGGTGATCACTTGCCGCAACGTTGCATTGATGCATAATTCTAGGTCCGTATGATTTGGGGAACTCCGTCTTTAAACAAGTTGCTTATTAGCAAGAGCTCTCTCATTTTAGTTTGGACACACTCACAATAGAATGCCACAGGGCACGATTGTACCAAAGTATTACGTCCTGCTCTTCGTGTCGGTGGGCGTAGATGTTTTCAGGCTCCAGAGCAGGCCTCATAATTCTATACATCGTAGCCCGGGATTAGCTTTAGTGCGAGGCTGCAGACATTCTCAAACTTACTTGTTCATGAAGACTCTGACTTCTTTGAGGTCGTCCACCACTTTCTCCTCTGCATCCGGTGCGCTCTTCAGATAGAGCTTGAAGGCTCCCTGCCCATGCACCTGCAGCGATTTCTCGCCCGTAACGGGGTTTGTCCATACCATTGGGTAGATGCACACATGCTCTGGCTTCCAAGGAGGCAGTCTGTCCAACGGTTTCTCCAAGCCCTCGGTTTCGATTAAGTGCCCCAGCCGCGAGCTATGCGCTGTCGACATCCAAACGAAAGCATGGGGCGCGTATTCAATCCTGCTATTCAAGACAATGCTACGAGTTTCTTCATCCAAGATCTCCAATGCACGGGAGCCCTCGACCATGGCAGTAGCTCCCGGTGCGATGGTCATGTTTGTGCCCGTACCGTCGTCCCAACGCACATTTACGTCGGGACCCTTGGGTGTTCGTACTGCGAGCAGGCACCCTACTCTGGGAGGAGGAATCTTGTAGAGTGCACCATCGAAATGCCACTGGTAGAATCTGCTCGCGCCCTTCTCACGTTCCTCTGAGGGAATATGAGGGGGCAGATGGAACTCTTCATGATCGATTCCTTGGATTTCGAAATCAGGCGGAAAAGAGTAATGGTTCTCGGGAACGGGACCACGACCCAAGATATGAACTTGCGGCTGCACAGGGATGGCTGGGCGCTTCGGGATTCCATAGATGTTGACGCCGTTGTGCGTTGCCAGCAATGGATCGGCACCATGGGCAAACCCGCCCGTTTTCTCGTCAGGATCAAAGCTGCCCGGATCTCAGTATCTTCTCTATCAAGTTATGTGTAATGGGAGTATACCTTGAGGTAAGTTTGTATTGTTGTTCGGGCTTCAGCATAGCTGGCTGTTCCTTGAATTCAAGGAGCTTATGGCGATGCAATGCGTCATGAATGAAGTCGAAATCGGCATCAGTGAAGTTATTCAAGTCGATGCCGTAAACCTCGGCACCCAACTTCACTTTCTTGGACGGCTCATGCTGGATCAGCACAATCTTTCCGTTGGACTTCTCGGCATGGGGAAGACTGAAGGTGGTTTTTTGGGGCGCAAGCAGTAAGCTAGCCTGTTCTTCTGTAACCACGGCTGTGATGACCATTGTGTCGTTAGTTTGAGAGTGTTCCAGTGCACCAATTCGAATGTTAGGAAGCTTCAAACGCTTTGTTAGATAGATATACGCTAGATGCCGGTTCGCATGAACGAAGTTTGCTCAACGATATCCGTAGTCGATGTCACCCAAGCATCCACTGCGAGATTCCGTATAACTCCTCGGCCGAGGTGGATACAGATACAGATAACCATAGATGTAGATGGAGGACATAATAAGCGCACCCGTTGGAGGGACCCGCTCAACCTCGGGCTCGGCCGAGACATCTCAACCATCATCACCACGAAGTCCTTTCTCCATCCCTATTTCTTTTCCTGATTCGCGATCTTTGTCAGCGACCACCTAAGTTGCGACCACCTAAGTTGTGCCATTAATCCCATAGAGACTTTCACGACATAGTATCCAAGGAAGACATCATGGCATCCAGATTTGTCGAGACAGCCTCCTCGAGGAAACTGCATTGTCTGCAGACTGGTGATCCAAGAGGCCAACTCATAATCTGCCTCCACGGCTTGGGAGGCTCCGCAGAAACTTTCAAACCTCTTTTGCCCAGCTTACCACAGGCCTACAACATTGCCTGCTTGGATTTCCCTGGCTTCGGCGCAAGCCCCGCCCTAACCGAGCGTCCCACGATTGCCAGCTATGTGTCCGACCTGCACGATGTCGTCACATCTTTTCAAGCAGCTGATGAAAGTCCACAAGACTCTCAAAAGGTAAGCTACGTCTGTGTACCGCCTGGCTCTATAGTCTCTCTCTGTTTATCCTACTGACCAATACCAACCAAAGGTAATCTTGGTCGGACATTCCCTCGGTTCGGCCATTGTGCTGCACTTTACTGCCCAGTATCCCTCACTTGTCGCTGCGATTTGCCTGCTAGGAGCTACCCGATCGGCTTCGCACATTCCTGCCGTGCAGGCCAGAATGCTAGACATGGCAAAGAACACTCGGGAGAAGGGTGCGGCATGGGCAGCCGAGCTGGCCAGCAGATCGAACTTCCCGCCGCCGGAAATGCGCGACGTGGATGAAAAGCTGCGCAAGGAGGTGTATGATGCCGTGGCGGCTTCAGACGCCGAGGGTTACGCATTGACTTGTGAAATGATGGCGGACGGCTCGCACAAGGATCCAGACTACACCAAGATCAAGTGTCCAGTCCTCCTAATCGCGGGGGATCTTGATGTCATCAGTCCAGTAGAGCGATCAAAGGGTCTAGTTGATATTATAGGATCGGATTTATGTACCCTGGAGATCGTCAAGTCTGGGCATCAGCCTATCATTGAGGAGCCGGATGCTGTTGTGCGAGCCGTGGGACAAATGCTCCAGAGAGCCCAGGCTTGATTCTATCTGCAGAGATATCTCCGATGTTTTTAACTTAGTAGAATACTTCTAGAGGGGAGGTCTAACAACCCCGTCGATACTAAATGATCTTTGAATATTATACTGTATTACAGAGCTACATTGATAAGTCTTGACTAGCTAAATAGAACAAATTCTCTATGCTCTCCTCATCAAACGGACCCGCGTCGAAAAAGCAGTCTGCAAGTAAAATTGAGTTGGCCGCGGTGGGAGCCTCAACCTGCGAGGTTTGGGAAGCCTGGGCTCTCTGATCGTTGCAAAATGCCTTTACAAATGCTGGGACATTAAAAAGACGTGGCTTCTTTTGAGGGCGCGTATTGCTCTCGTCAATGTCGTCACTTGAGGTCCTCTTTGATCCTTGAGGGGCCACAGTCCCAGATATCTCGTCATATAGCGATGTGAGAAGCTTGACGCCCCTAGTAGCAATGGTACTATTTCGACACTTATGAAGCATTCCAATCATATCTTTGATAAGTTGCAAATGCTCAGAATTGCTCGGCTCGCCCGGTCCAGAGTGAAGAAGGTCCAAAATCAAAATGATCGAGGCTGCGACGGCAAACGCCTGATGTATCCATAACACCGGGCCATCCTCTTCAAACACACACTTGTACTCCTTCATGATTGTCTTGGAAGCTGCCAGGCAGGTCTTCCTGGTGAATGCGAATGCCGGGTTTGAGAAGCTCTTGGAAAGGAAAGATCGGTGGATCATGATGATCTTGTGAGACGAGGAGATCGCCAACGACCTTCTGGCCCAATGAACCCAGACTGGCCAGTCCGGCTCCAGGGGTACATTTGACAAATATCTTGGTCGGTTTGCAATCGCGATTGTGCGCAGTTGCTTGTCCCACTTGAGGACCTGCTCATACTTCGTGAACAGTGTGTTGCAGGACATGAGCCCATCCTGCAGTTGAGGCATGATCCGTGCAATCTTGCCCAGAAACCTTGAGTAGCCGGCAACTGTGGGTATTGAATCCGGCAGAGATGTGAGATGCCCATCATGGCAATTAAGTGGCGGCTCCGATTTGGAGTATGCCGGATTGATAAGGTATGTGTCGGAAAATGGAAGGCTGAACCAGTCTTGACAACATATCTGTGACCAGACACGGCGCCCTGCCTCCTTTTCTACCTCTCCCCCAGGGACTGTAGCTGTAAGGCGATGAATACCAAGGCTCTGTGCAATGCGTACAGAAGCAGCGAGGTAGGTAGATTGGAGGTTAGAGAAGCCCAGCATATGGGCGGACAAGGTTAAAGTAGCGATGGCCTGGATAGAAAGAATTGAGTGATTGGAGGCAAAGTCGGCTTTGTTGAGACAAGTGATTGCAGCCTGGAACCATCGCTTGGAGAGAATGTCCCTTTCCCTCTCGTCAAATCCAAATCTTTCGGCCGCCTCGGCAGGCAGGCATATGATGCTCCCCGCCAGAACGGAGAATAAGAAGGCTACCCATTGGAGATCGATACCTGGATGCTCTATTGAGCCGTCGCACTTATCGTAGAAACTTTTGAGCTGGGTCCTTAGCGAGGGGCCATAGTAGGAGCAATGGTACCACAATAGACAATTCTCGTGCCAGAGCACCAACTCCCATGTCTTCTGTGGCTCGGGAAGAAGGAGTTGCAGGACCGAAGTTTGCGATAAATCATCAAGGTTGCCTTCATCTGAAGATGCGAGGTCGGAATTTGTTTGAGGAATCTGGACATCTCCCACAGTCGAAGCTTGGGTGATGGCTTCAGGCGATGTTACCGGCAAAAGATCCGGATTCTTTCTTCGGCCCCAAGCCAGAAATTCAAGTATAGATGCAGCGTCCTCAGCCACGGTATCTCCCGAGGGCGATTGAGACTCGTTCGCCGTCTCTTGATGTACAGGTTCTTCGTCGGCTGCATGAATTCGGTGCATGGTCGGCTCTGGATATGGCTCGTGTACGCTGGGAGATTGGATCGGCCGACGTTGAAGTTCACTTTCGAGATCAGTGATCCGACGCCGAAGCATCATCAGTTCCGATTCATCCTGGGCATCGATAGTGACTGGCGGCGACAATGCCGCTGGTAACTGTGGCAAAGCTGCCCGTCTCCCGTGAGACCGAGCTTCATGTGCAGCAGGATCAATACAAGTGTTTTGTTCGCCTCTGGAGAGTAAAATATCAGCAGCGTTCGGGTATAGAGGAGCATAGACCGAGAGAGGCCGCCGTCCTCACCTCCTAATACAATTCGAGCATGGGACTGTTTTGGAGCATTTGACCTTGCGCCGTGTGCAAGAGGCACAGGCGAGTCGATTCCGAGGACTGTTCATTTGACTGGACCATGAAGCATGGAAGTTCATAGAGTAAGTCCATACAATTGTGTTCCGGCAGGCGAGAAGCTCGGGCTCGGGCTCGGGCGGCGGGGGACAGCGGCCAATTATCATGGACGCAGACTGATTTCCTTATCATTGTTGTAGAATGTTTATCTCTATGATGGCAATCAGCCAATCATCATAGTTGCAATTACCCTCCAAGTCGTGCTGGTCTTATGGGGCTCCTCCACAGCGTTATCTCCGATGTTGGAGATATCGATAGGCGAGCCAACAGTGCCCCCTCCAGTTCCCCAGTTAATCGTCTTACATTCCGGGGGGTGGGGAGGAAAGATGTCCATATCTTCGTCGGGCTAGGACGGGTTGGACATATCCCTGGCGATGGTGACCCATGAAGTAGCTCCCAGTTATCAGGCCCAGGGTATGTTCTGCCTATGATATATCTGGTGATGTCCTTGACAATTGACGCTGTGCAACCACAGCTCCATCTAGGCGTTCGTGGCTTGTAATCGGAGCCGTTCTTCCCTCTATCTATGACTCTATCCTCTCTGCGCAGCCGTGGTTCAGCCAGGCTATCTGCAGCCAAGAAGAAGCTTGAGCTCCGACTCACTCAACCAGAAAGCTGGAAACTTCCGAAACAACATAGTAGCATTGCGCCACCGGATGTATGGACCAATGCAGACCAAGATCCCATCCCGCCAGAATTGCGAACATGGACAGAGATGACCTTCATCACTTACTGGTACAGTGATCTGGTTACGATCAGTGGCTGGTCTGCCGCTGGCGCCATTTTGACTGCTGGTCTCTCTGCAACTGATGCGATCCTCATTACATTGACTGCAGGCATTTGCAATGCCATTCCCACCGTATTGAATGGCGCCATTGGGTCCGACCTTCACGTTCCTTTCCCCATCGCCGTTCGCGCCAGTTATGGCTATTGGCTGAGCTACTTCTGTGTCATCAGCCGAGCCGTTCTCGCCATGTTCTGGTTCGGAGTCCAAAGTGTCGGTGGCGGGCAATGCGTGACTGCGGTAAATCATTTGATCCCAGTCAGACAAGATAGTTGGCTAACATTCACAGATGATTCTGGCTATCTGGCCAAGCTATGCAAAGGTTGAGAACACCCTGCCCAAGTCCATTGGTATAACAACGCAAGGTATGGTGTCGTACCTCATATATTGGCTGGTACAAACGCCGCTTCTCCTGATCCCTACACACAGACTGCAGCTGTTGTTCAACGCAAAAGCAGTCCTCGTCACACCCATGGCTCTCGCCATGGTGATCTGGATCGCGGTCAAAGCTGGTAACCAGTCTTCGGGCTTCTTTTATGCTCCTGCCACCGTGTCCGGTTCGACCAGAGCCTGGCTTTGGCTGTCTAGCCTGGTAAGTCATCAACCTCACGAACTTGGACTTCTCATTGTCCCTGACATATGACAAATAGACCTCTGTTACTGGCGGTTACACTACCTTGACAGTCAATATTCCCGATTTTTCGAGATTTAGCAAAACAAAAGGTGCAAATCTCTGGCAGCTTCCAGCAATTCCCTTCTTCAAAACGATTGTCGGTATCTTTGGTATTGTCGCCGCAGGGGCTGCCAAGGAGGTATATGGGGAGGCGCTTTGGAACCCAATTGATATCATCAACAAGTGGCAGGACAACCCTGGTGGGCGAGCAGCTGCCTTCTTCTGTGCGCTCATCTGGCTCCTGGCACAGATCAGTGTCAACATCAGCGCCAACGGCGTTTCCTTCGCCAACGACGTAGCTTCCATAGCGCCCAAGTGGTTCAATATCCGCCGAGGAGTGATTCTCGTCTCGTTCCTGGGCGGCTGGGCCCTGTGCCCTTGGATCATCTTGGCTTCGGCAAAGGCCTTTATGAGGTTCATGTCCGCATACGCCATCTTCATGGCCCCGATAGCGGGCATCCTGACAACTGACTACTGGCTGATCAAGCGTCGCAAGTACAATGTCCCGGCGCTCTACGATCCGCATGGGATTTATCGCTTTGGGGTGGCAATTGGAGAGCCTTGGTCACAACGGTTCTCATTATCACGCCTCTTTTGCCTGCTCTTGGGCACGAAGTAAACCCTGAGGGCGTACCTGTCCCAGATGGTCTACAGAAGCTGTTCAAGTTTAACTGGCTCTACGATTTCGTGACCTCAATCGTGCTCTATTACACACTGAACATAGTTTCCCCTCATCGAGAGACCCTCATACCCCAGGTTGTTTACGGGGATCAGCCCTTAATTGATGGAGTTAAACCTAGTAGAGAAGGATCAGAAACACGTACAGATGGCAAGATAGACGAGATTGAACCAGTTTAGCGTTGGCAAACAAGATGTTGAGCTTGTGCACTAGCCTAGCAAAGGTCCTCCCTCGAATATCTTGGGTTACGATTTTGATGAACGGCGCATTCTTTCCATTCAAACACGGGATTTTTGTGTCTCGTATTTTTCCAGTTGAAACTTATCTACGATTAAGGAGAGATATTTATACAGGAATACAGTTTTTTCACCACGTCAGGAGCTCACTGCTTTTATGCCCAATCATCGACAGGGGTCATTCCACACTCGGTAATCGAATCTACACCTCAGAGGGAAATCCAGACAAAGTAATCGGAGGAGTTTCTCTCCAACTTGATTCAGTCCTAGGCTAGCTGCCTCACAATAGCTCAGCTAGTCTGTGTTCCGGAAATAGTGGTCAGTATTCTGTAGAAGGGTAAACTGACTGATTCCAGTCCCCCACATGTGTGCAGCCAACACCGAGATAGCGTTTGATCCACGGGGACCTACCTAGAACGGGCAGGTAAGTAAGATCGTGGACAGCCCATGCGCCTCCGAAGCCTTTCGCTCAAGGCAGATAAAGCATAGGCAAGGTTAGACCTGTATTCTTGTTATCGGCAGCGATCCGATTATCCGGCCAGGGAAATTACCTTCTCGATGCAGACTCAATCGGTGGAAACAAGCAATAAAATGCTGATCGCCGGTCAACTTGAGTAGCATTGCCAGGAGCAGCCAGCTAATGGATGCTTAAGGTTGAATTACCGTCTGTTGCTCCCTTATGCTATCATGGCACAATTCAGCGGGGAAACTTCTATACTTGCGTGATATAACCTTCGACAGGTCATTCTTCTTGACCCCTTGGATCGACATCACAACACCAATCATTGGCCTGCAATGTTGGGGCTCCGCGCAAGCAAAGTGTGCCAAGCCCATCTACTCAACCCTCGGCAGGGCAGTCCCGAAGACTCCAAGCAAAGGGCAACTCAATCTCCAACGTTCTGGCCGCTGAGCTGCAATTTGATGCACCGTTTGCCTTCTGTCGGGCGCACATGGGGGCGGAGGGCGATGTGACAGGCCCACGGATGAATCGGCATCTGGCCCGCTTAACCACATCGTTCGGCCTCTTCTGGTTGCTGATGCGCCTAATCCTTCGTGGAATTGCCCCCATAGTTTAGTAGGGAGTGTTCAGTAATTCGCTTGCAAGCACGGGCATAGCCGTTCGCGGTACAGGCACGTTCCTGGCGTTCCTGGTCCCATCATGACGGTACGGCCCCGCCTCATCAAAAGGTCCCTGGCCAGATGCGTTAGGCTTTGTTATCTTTGCCATGCTTTTGAGCTAGGATATCGCCTGTGTATGTATTAATATGTCGGGTGCCGATCCATGGCCATGTTCCCACGTCTTCAGGACTGACCATCTGCATCGCGGCCTTGGGAGACACTCCATCATGAAGTCGGTTCTCGCTCTCACCAGCATCACTGCGCTACTCGGCAGAGCCATTGCCTGCGGTGGCGATGACGATGGCTGCTATGGTCCAATTGACAAGGTCGAGCACGTCCGTCTTGTCAAGCGTATCCAGCCTGGTTCTCCCGACGCTCCTTATGGCCCAAAGGGTCCTCTGGAATGGGGCCAGATCAATTTCATGCACACTGTATGTCGTCTCCCTCGACTCAATGCTTGCCGAGAAGAAGAAAGAAGCTGACCAGTTGTAATATGAAAAGACGGACACTCATGGCTGGCTTGCTGGCCATCTGAAGGAGGAGAATTATGGTGCTGATTGGGGAGATTTCGCAACCTTCACTCGTCGCATGAGGCAGAAGGCCGATAACTTGGGTGTCGACTTCCTTTTGGTCGACACTGGTGATCTTCACGATGGTGCTGGTCTCTCCGACGCTACCACCATCGATGGCACCACGTCCATGCCCATCTTCAGCGAGATCGAATACGATCTTCTCACGATCGGTGAGAGCCATTCGGGGAATGAGGACGAGGCGCAGAGCCAAGACTTACTAATTGATGGCAGGAAACCACGAGCTGTACGTGGCTGAAGTTGCCAAGCAGATGTTTAACGAGTATGCCAAGAAATGGGGGGATCGCTATCTCACTTCCAACGTCAAGGTCTACAACGATGCGACCAAGCAGTATGAGCATGTGGGAGCCACCCACCGCTACTTCACCACCAAGCAGGGCATCCGTATCATGGCCTTCGGTGTTTTGTTCGACTTTACTGGTATGCGATCAGACGATTCGAGCAAGGTGCGTCCTCCACTGACATGCCTGCCTAGGAAACTCGAATGCTTCTCAGGTCATCAAGGCCAAGGACATGGTCAAGGAGACTTGGTTCCAGGATGCCATCCACACTGACAAACCAGTTGATTTGTTTGTCCTCTTGGGACACAACCCTGTCCGCCAAACCGACTATGCCAACACATTCACCACTGTGTGGAATGAGATTCGAGCTGTCCACAAGAACACTCCCATCACCATCTTCGGCGGCCACTCCCACATCCGTGACTTCGCCGTCTACGATCAGGCCTCCGTAGGGATCGAGGCTGGTCGCTACTGCGAGACCCTTGGATGGGTCTCGCAATCCGGATTCAGCAAGTGCAACAGCGGATACCACGGAGCCAAGAAGCCGGATGGCAAGAAGCTCTCACGCAAGGCCACGGATAACTCCGCAGCCCCGTGGGCGTACTCTCGCCGATACCTGGACTGGAACCGAAACACCTTCATGTACCACACCAGTTCTGACAAGAATTTTGACTCTCAGACCGGCCTCGAGATCACCCAGGAGATCACCACCGCTCGCAAGGACATGAACCTCGGTGAGGTCTACGGCTGCGCTCCCGAGACATACTGCATTTCTTGCGTCCCATTTGATGACCCAAAGAACATCTTTCCGGGTGTGATCAAGCCCGCAGTCAACGCCGTTGTTCTCAACGAAACCCGCAAGGACAAGGCCCGTATGATCATTGGAAACACCGGCGCCATACGCTTCGACTTGTACAAGGGCCCCTTCACGTACGACGATAACTTTGTCGTGTCGCCCTTCCGTGATGTTTTCCGTTACATCCCCGACGTTCCTTTCGACAAGGCCAGCCAGGTCCTTGGTCTGTGAGTGCATCCTAAATCCCCTAGATTGAGCGATGGGAATCGACAAGAATTCTGACACATATCCATAGGTTGAACAAGGGCACCGTTGCCAAGCGTGAATTTGCCTCCATGCCCATCACCCGTGATGACTGCGTTGATCCCCTCATCGGTGCTCTGACCCTCCGCGATATGCACCAGGAGCGCGGTACTGTCCGTCGCCAGGAGACTATCACCTCCGGATATGCGACCAAGGATGACTGGGGAACCGATGGTATGACTATTGAAAAATATAACGGTGGCGATCGATTGCTAAATATGTGTTGATAGGTGATGACACGGAGCATACTGGTATTCCCAACTACAGCATCCCTAGTTACTGGGAGTCTCGCGCCGGGTTCCCCACGGGATCTGATCCTGAGAAGGTCGACCTCATCTTTTTTGACTTGTGAGTGATGCATAAATGGCAGGCCCAGGTTGTTGATCAGAGTGCTAACGAGTGATTCAAGCATCGAGAAATACGTTTTGCAGGATCTCGGCTCCGGCTTCACTTCCGATATGGTTTCGTGCTACATCAACTGCACGTTCACTTCTCAAGGTAAGTCTTCGCTCTATTCGCGCTGGCAGAGAACACATACTCACGAATTTGTGACAGATTTCATGCTGCCCTATGCCAAGCTCATGTGGCAGGACAACATTGACAACTGCCCCATTAGCGCTTAGGTGGTTAGGCCGAGCGGTGTGGGAAATTGTATAGTAAAATGATGTAAATCGATGACCAGGTAGATAATTTTAATGCTGTTGATGAGACCAGAGCCTTGTTGGTTTGAATGTGCCGTCCGTAGTCACAAGACCGTGATAGCGTTGTCTGGCTGCACCACACCAAGGAAAAGAGGATCATGCAAAGCCTTTTATAATGCGCTCCCACGTGCCCTTGTCGTGCTGACCTCCAACAAAGCAAATTTAGCATGGGTACCCGCTCAATATCGGTACCGAGATGACATCCACAATAATGGTAGTCCAACAGTGACTGGTGACGGTTCCTCAGAACGAACGACGGTAACATAGCCATCATAAGCTCTCAAACTAGTCAGCGCGGCAGAAAGTACGAAAGTGCTTGCCCTGAGCCATTAAAAGGCTCCCATCTTTAGGGATTAGAGTTAGGATGATTTTGATTTTCTCCAGTTTTACGTGAGACCTCTGAAGCGGGAGCGTCTTGCAATGCATTTTTATTCTCCTTCGTAAACAAAATCAAAATATTAAGGGGCGTCTAGGGTGTACAATCTTCTTTCCCTCGTAATCTATCTTATCATAAAGTCTCGTTCCTGTTCATGGTTGAGGTGAGAAGTGACAGGGGCCCGAGGTTGGGCTAGATCCCACGGCCACCAGCTACCTCGTAAACCTAGACAACATAAAAAGGAGAACGACGGGACACGGTTAAGGGAATCAACATGCCGCGGTGACGTGCTGCATTAGCCTGAACCCAAAAGAGCCAATCATGGGCCAGACTTTGTAATCTCCCCACACTCTGGTCCTCGTCATGGCACCCTGATGGCCTCGACAACTGATGATTTGGCACCTTGATGGTCTCATGTGTAGGTCGATTCGATGCAATGTTGAGGCAGCATGCGATAAGGTGATGTTTTTTTGGTCAGCATGGCTTGATTTTTGTGCGTGCAGGCAATGTTTGTGCTTTAGGGTTCGCTTTGAGACGAGGAACAATGGCCACTCCTAGGATATTAAAATGGCCAGCGGCTGGATTCTAAAATTCTATCCTTCTCTCTCTCTTCTTCACATACTCATAGTTCATCTTCCTCTGTTTTATTGACAAGTGCATTTCCATTTAGCCTGCATCTTCCTCTTGTGTTGAGCGTCGCCTTGCCAGAACCTTCTATCGGACAACACAATGGGCAAACGAAGAGCCCAAGCCAAGCCAAAGAAGGCTGCCCCAAAGACAAAGGTTCCGCCAAAGGCTTTGCCCGTCACATTGCTTTCAGGATTCTTGGTATGTGACCATGCCCTATAATCCCAACTAGCTTGCTGAAGTTGTGGCTAATTGTGGTTCTTGATTCTAGGGTTCTGGCAAAACCACTCTCTTGCAGCACATCTTGAAGACTGAGCATGGCCTCCGGATCGCTGTCGTCGTCAATGACATTGGAGCGTAAGTCTCCCTCACCCCCTGAAGCAACCCCGTGTCTAAAAAATGGGCTCTCCGGCTAACCCCTCATAGCATCAACGTCGACGCTTCCCTGATTAAACAAACCCACCGAATCAATAAGACACAAGAAAAGGTCATCGCTCTTCAGAATGGATGCATCTGCTGTACCCTCCGCGGGGATCTCCTCGAAGAACTTGTCCGACTTGCTCAGCTACAAGAGTTTGACTACATTATCATCGAGAGCAGTGGCATCTCTGAACCTGAACAAGTGGCCGAGACATTCGACTCGCGCCTAGCCGAGCAGATGGACGCCATGGGAAGCCTCGAAGGTGAACCTGGTCTTGACGAAGACATGCGTAGAGTTCTGAACCAACTGTGAGTTCCATGCACCACTTTTCATTATTCCTATATTTGATTGACTGATTGGGCTCTTTTGCAGGAAAGAGGCTGGTGGCCTGGAAAAGTTTGCGCGTCTCGATACGACCGTGACAGTCATCGATGCCTTCACCATGATGAACGACTTCGACACAGATGACCTGCTGTCCAACCGTCGTGATGATGTTACTCCAGAGGACGAGCGCACTGTATCCGATTTGATGGTTGACCAGATCGAGTTCGCCGATGTCATCGTTCTCAACAAAACTGATATGGTATAACAAGCTTCTCTTCTAAGTCACGAAGATCCAAGTCAGCTAATGCCCCTTTGAATATCAGGTCAATAAGAGCGCAAAGGAAAGCATTCTAGATCTGGTCAAGAAGCTCAACCACCGCGCCAAGATAATCGAGGCCAGCTACGGCAAGGTCGATGTCAAGGAGCTTGTCAACACCGGCATGTTCAATCTTCAAGTGGCTCAGACTGGCTATGGCTGGCTCCAAGACCTGCACGCGATGACAGTGCGAGAGGTACGTAAACTCTACAAGTTCAGCCTGATTTTACGATGCAAGGGCTAATGTCTCGTGCACAGGTCAACGGCAAGAATGTGGTCACTCCCAAGCCGGAAACAGAGGAGTACAACGTCCGCAGCTGTATCTACACACGGCGCAGGCCATTCCATCCCCGTCGGCTCTGGGCTCTGGTGTATGACAAGTTTATCCTCCAACTAGAGCACCCAGAGGATGAGGAGGATGAAGAGGAAGAAGAAGAGGAAGAAGACGACGACGTCGTGATGGTCGACCATGAGGATGCTGATCAAGAAATGGATAACGACAGCAACCATGGGTCTTCCTCTTCTCGTGGGAATGCCGGAGGATCGTCCCCTCGGAGCAGCCACTCCAACACAGAAACAGTCCAGACAATCCCCTCGCCAACACTTCAGTCCAAGACGATGCCTGAGAAGTCACAAGACATTGAATCATTGGATGAACTTTTCACGCCCGACAATGAGGTGATTCTCAAGAATAAGCGCAATCATCCTGTTTTTGGCCGCCTCTTCCGCTCCAAGGGCGAGTTCCTCCTGGCCACCCGACCACACCGCGCCGGCGACTGGTCCCAAGCCGGCACCATGTTGACCATGACTGGTGGTCGTCCGTGGTTCTGCACCTTACCAGAGGAAGAGTATACCACTGGAGATGGCGAAGTGGACAAGCTCGTGCAGCACGATATCGAGCAGGGCGGCGAGTGGGGAGACCGTCGCCAAGAGCTGGTATTCATCGGAGAGCGACTAAACCACAAGGCAGTCGAGGCGCTTTTGGATGAGTGTCTCTTGACGGACGAGGAGTTCGAAGAATGGAAAAAGGTGATGCGCAATGGTGTCATGAGCGATTCAAAACGACAGGAGGTCCTGGAAGAGTTGTTCGAGGATGGATTTCCTGATTGGCCGGAGGAAGACGAAGACCACGAAGGCCATGATCATCCGCACTCGAATGGGCTGCGATCCATCAAGCTGGAGCTGCAGGAAGTAGATTGATTAGATTAAGTTCGGATTGTGCGAGAATGAATTAAAGATGGCAACTGTCTATGAGGAAGACTCTGCCAATCTGCGGTAACGGCCCTAACGAGCTATGAGATGAGGCTGCCGGTAGCGCTTACGACTACATCGTAAATTCGTAATAACTAGCTACTTCTCCTCAATCATAATTTGCTCATTTATTCGCAAGTGAGTGAGATGAAATATGGGGATTCTTCGAAGCCGCCGCAATAATTAATAAACTGAAGTGGCACCAGCCTACGTACATCCTGGTGCATCACTTCAAACCAGTTTCAAGTCCGTGGAAAATCCGGCCCATTTTGGACCGCTCCTTGGTTCAGTCCATCTGATAGATTCGCATATAACGGCACTGGCGCCATGCCCTGAACAAGTGGTGTTACTCCTTGGTGAATAACTTGCTCTTCCAAAGGATGGGGCCATCACTTCCAGGGGGAACCTGAAACATCTCTCGCATTACCGTATCCGGTGCCTGGAGGCACAGCTCCCGTTCCTGGATCGGTTTGTGGGACCACCAAGACAAGATCGAATGACGCTACAGGAGACAGAGTCGATCTATATCGAAATGAATGGTGAAACTGGGTACAATAGTATAAATATCAGAATCGCACTCCATGCAGATAAACCTGCTCAAGCAGCTTTCTTTTCGGAGACGCAGGAGATAGTCGTTCTTTTCTTAGCTCCTTTAGTGACCACCACATTCTTTATTTGTTCAACTCCTGGCGAGAATCATTCAACAAATTTCCACAATGAAGTCCATCATCTCCTTTTTTGGGCTGGCAACCCTGGTGGCTGCCGCTCCATCCCAGAATCCAACAAGAACCCAACCTCTCGAAAAGCGTGCTACCACTCTCTGTGGGCAGTGGGACTCGGTCGAAACTGGTGGATATACCATCTACAACAACCTCTGGGGCCAGGATAACGGATCTGGTTCACAGTGTCTGACAGTCGAGGGCGTTACCGACGGTCTGGCTGCATGGTCGTCAACATGGTCTTGGAGTGGTGGCTCGTCTAGCGTCAAGTCGTACTCCAACGCCGTTCTTAGTGCTGAAGCTGCCAGAATCTCTGCTATTTCTTCTATCCCTTCGAAGTGGGAGTGGAGGTAGGTGCCATCGCGTACGCTGATGTTATACGCATAGGGCAGTCTTGAGCTAATTGGCATTGTTTCTTCTAATAGCTACACTGGAACCGACATTGTGGCCAACGTTGCATACGATCTCTTCTCCAACACAGACTGTGGCGATACCCCTGAATACGAGATCATGATCTGGCTGAGTGCCTTGGGCGGTGCAGGTCCCATCAGCTCCACTGGCTCATCCATTGCTACAGTTACTATTGCCGGTGCATCGTGGAACCTGTGGCAGGGCCAGAACAACCAGATGACCGTTTTCAGCTTCGTAGCAGAGTCTGACCAGAAGAGTTTCAGCGGCGATCTGAACGACTTCATCCAGTATCTTGTAGACTCGCAGGGATATTCGGGTTCTCAATGCTTGTACTCAATCGGCGCTGGCACCGAGCCGTTCACGGGTACTGATGCTGAGTTCATCACGACTGGTTATAGTGTTTCGGTGTCTGCCGGTGACAGTGGCAGCGATGAGACAACTACATCCTCCCAGGCCCAATCAAGTACCGTCGAAACCTCTACAGCGACTCAACCTCAGTCCAGTAGCACAGTAGTCCCCACTGTCACACTGTCTCAACCATCCAATGAATCAACTACTACACCAGTGCAGTCTCAGCCTAGCAGCGTGGAAACTACTCCAACAGCTCAGCCTCAATCGAGCAGCGTTCAAACAACTACTACAGCCCAAGCTCAGCCTACCTCCGGAACGGGCTGCTCCCGACGCAGGAAGCGCAGAGCTGTTGTCTAGTGCGACAATGCACCTTGATCGCCGGTGAGTTGTTGCAGGGTGACCATGAGCCCTGTCGATGATGGGTGCCTTGGGTGTCATTGATTAAGCCAAGTCGCATACGGGCCCAATTCCTGATAATTAGTCTTTGATGTTAGGGTAGCACAGAAAATTCATCATGTTCCAGTCTTTCTTGTGGTCATGTCGTGATATTGTTGCCCTAAATGCTAAGAAGACTCTGACACTATGATTCAGGCTCAACTTTGCTGCAATATGACTCATTATCAACGGTTCTAAACCAACTCATCCATGAAAGTAACACGAATCTGCATTGAATAGAGCGGTGATTACTCTGGATACTTAAGTGACTGGTGAATTAAGAAAACATTACCACTGAAGCCTCCTTCCAGCACGCTGAAGCTTCGATGTAGGGTAGAATCCCTGTTTGTTCTTTCATCATCACAACTGGTTTGATGGTTTGATGACCCACATCGAATGAATCAGTTACATTGCGTCATAAAGCCATGATGAGACGCCTTGTTTTGTTGGCTTACAAGCGGGGTAATTAAGTAAGAGTCACTGGTTCCAATATTTCAGTGACCGGGTACAGCAGCCAGGTTGGTGTTACATGGAATGGGCTCGTGCTTACCGTGGTAATATGTCGCGATTTATTCCTCTCAACTGGCAGCATCTTATCTCTTCTGGAAGATGGGGAACGGCACGGGTGAGTCGTGCATGACGGCCTTTTGTTGTGGTGACAGGATGAGGAAAGGATCAGCCACTTATTCCTCCGAAACGTTGCACTAATCCCGCTCTGTCCTTGGAATGACGAGCAATGACAATCGCACTTTGCGGACAGCAGGGTTCAACCACTCCTGTGGGGTGATCTGACGAGGACTGGAGGTTCCAAACCCCGGCAGATGGCAAACATCCCCATCTTAGCCGGGTAGATCGGAACGCTTGGCCACTGCGGCCGTGCAATCGGCACTTCCAGCTGGACTAACCCAGAACTTTTGTTGCTGGGAGCTCTTTTGGAAGCTCCTGTAGCATCGGTAGGCTTGTACTCGCCATCGCAAATGCCGTTGTTACCGAATTCTGGCCCCAGCGCAAGGCAACCTCGCAAAAAGTCCAGTCTCGCTCATCACCCAATCCGCCGCGAACATTGTGATTTGTGCGCCACCGCTTATCATCTCAATTCCCTGATGGGACATAGTTCGTGAATATCGGGTTATAGTGATACAGGGCCTTACCGCCTACTATCAGCATAAATAGCCCGATGACACCCATCTCTACTTGAGTATCATCAGCCTCACTCTGCTTCAAACCTCCCTCCACCTCTCTCACGATGCGTTATAGCTTGATAGGGGCTGTTGTAGCTTTCGGGGGCTTTTCCCAAGCGGCCTTCAACCAAGGAGCTCTTCGAGCGTTCAATCGCGTCCAGCAATTTGAACAGAGATGGGAAGCAATTCCAGCTGAGCAACCAGCCTTCCAGGCTCGGGCAGAACCAAGGTTTCTCACCAACAAAACGGAGAAGTTCGCTGTTGATGGCACAGCCATTCCAGAGGTGAAATTCGACATTGGCGAGTCATACGCCGGCTTGCTTCCCATTTCTCAGGCGGCCAATGAGACCAAGGAGTTGTATTTCTGGTTCTTCCCCAGCACGAACGCCTCCGTTGATGATGAGGTTGTGATTTGGTAGGATTTTCCCCATCACCGGAATTGTATTCCCATACTGACTTTGATCGGATAGGCTGAATGGAGGACCAGGCTGCAGTTCTCTCAGCGGTCTTTTGACTGAGAATGGCCCCTTCCTGTGGCAGGATGGTACTCTTGCCCCTGTTCCCAACTCTTACAGCTGGACCAACCTGTAAGCACCATCACATCTTTCTTCCCCTTGAGCGTTCAGGACTGACAACCGGAAACAGCACCAATGTGATCTGGATTGAGCAGCCGGTGGGCGTTGGATACAGTCAGGGAACGCCCAACATCACCAACGAAGTGGAACTTGGTCTTCAATTCATTGGTTTCTGGAAAAACTTCATTGAGACGTTTGACCTCCATGGAGCGACCACGTACATCACCGGTGAATCATACGCTGGCTACTACGTTCCATACATCGCCGACGCCTTCATCACAGCCGCCGATGACACGTACTACAAGCTTGGTGGTGTTGCAATCAACGACCCTATTCTTGCAGACGGTACCCTGCAGCAGGATGTTGTTCTCCTCCCGTTCATTGAGTACTGGCAGAACCTTCTGAATCTCAATCAGACCTACGTCAATGCGCTGCGGTGGACTCACGAACACTGCAACTATTCCACGTACCTGGATACCTACGCAACCTTCCCACCAACAGGCCCGTTGCCAAGCCTTGAGGACCCCTACAAGGACCCCTCCGGAAACTACACTTGCGACATCTTTGATCTGGCGTACTACGCTGCGTTGGAAGCAAACCCATGTTTCAACATCTACCACATTACCGACACGTGCCCTCATACCTACGCTCAACTGGGCATCGTCAACACGGTACGATATGATATCTTCGACCCTAAATTATTCTTTGTTCTATGCTAACTCCAACTTCCTTGACAGGGCGACTACTCTCCCCCAGGCGCGCAAGTCTACTTCAACCGCACAGACGTGAAGAAGGCTCTCAACGCCCCCGACGTGGATTGGTACCAGTGCACACCCAACAACGTCTTCGGTGGCGGAGACCCCAACTCCAACGCCAGCGACTCGTCTCTCGCCCCTGCCCAAAACGATGTCCTCGGCCGAGTCATCGACAATACCAACAATACGATCGTTGGTGTCGGCAGACTCGACTTCCTCCTTGCTCCCAACGGCACCCTGTTTGGGCTCCAGAACGTGACCTGGAACGGTCTCCAGGGGTTCCAGAAATACCCCCAGGACAAGGAGTTTGTAGTGCCGTACCACAATGAATACAACGGAGGCAGGCTTAGCGAGGCCGGCATCGTGGGCAACTGGGGTAAAGAGCGTGGTCTGACGTACTACGAAGTCCAGCTTGCCGGCCACGAGTTGCCAGGGTATACTGCAGGAGCGGGCTACCGAACACTGGAGCTGCTTCTGGGACGTATCGACAGCTTGGACGCACCTGGAGGTTTTACATCCCAAGCGGGCGGTTCCTCTGGAAACAGCACACGCAGCTCGAGCGGCCGTATAGTCTAAGAGAAATCCAAACTGCGGAGTTGGTCTTAAAATAGGCCAATAAATACAAAAGTAAAATTGACAAATATCCGAGCACGTAGTATTTAGAAGCCGGTGACTTACATAAAAACCACAGTGATAAAGGAACACTCAATGAGCCAGTAGTCAGGTATGGAGGGATAGCCTTCGATGGTATTCGGATCTTGCTTAAAGAGGTGATAGACCGATGATGACTCTGCCTCTTTAGACTGTTTGTCGGTTTATGGTTGCACCTCTCAACGAGTTCACCGCGGCTTCGTGCTTCGATATCACCACGTGTTTCCGAAAGAGACTACCCAATATGAAATAGTTGGTAATGTAGACAAATGTATTAGTTCATGACAATAGGTCGTGTTCAATGGGACGGGGATGGCAATAATCTCCTCAAGGGTAGCTAATCGCTATATTGAGGTCCCTCCAAGGGTATCAAAGCTGCAGGGTCTCGCTGAGCTTCCCTGTTAAGACGAATGGTCAGCGTGTCAGATGGACCAGGATACGTAGATAGATAGAGTAGCGCTTAGGCCAACCAAGCATCATAGCCTCAATTCATCAATCGTAGGGACGGGACTGCTCGACGGTTCCAAATGATCTGGATGTCTGCGGCCACACAATCGCCCAAGCCTGGTTGGCTCAAGCTAAAGGCAATTGATGCTGATATCTGAGGAATCACGTACAGCGCTTGCTTTCTGATCCCCTGAGTAGGGTGTTAGTGTTTTGGGAAGTATGAGTGTCACAAGTAGTTCCAAGGCGGTGGTTAATTCAGCAGGATTTGTGACGATTGGGCTCCAAATAGTCATTGGGCTTTGAGTTAAGCTCGAGTATTGACTCTTAATCAGAAACCGAGGTGCCAATATATTCGTGACACAAAATTCGCCAAGTCCGAGCCACACTAATAATAATCAAATGAAAATGAGAGTGAGTGTAAAACCCTTGGATGGCTTATAGACAGGCAGTTCGTGTTGCCCATGAAGATCTCTCGCTAATTGATCAAGCATATTCTGGTCATGAAACACTGGAGGATCACCATCACCGATTCCCACAGCTCACGCTCTCCGGATTTATTTCTGGGATCGCACACAGGTGCTAAATGTAGGCAATTTCACCGCCTACAAGGGCCGTGACCGATAACCCGCGAGGCACAGTGGGTAACCACAGTCTTGAATAGAGCGAATGCAAGGATTGTTCATCTATAATTAGTGGCTTGAGCGCGATGCTTGATGCTGGTTGGCTGTTATCCAGGCTCGTTCGTCTGAAGGTGAAACAAATGCAACGTGCCGGGGTGTGATCGAAGGATCTGGTAATTACCAATCCAGTTCACCACCGACGGTGATAGACGAAAATAGATCTCAGATAGGCGGACGAACCGTCAATATAAGCCCGATGCACTCTTCTATCCAAGGAGTTGGTTGTGTTTGTTCATGTTGCATAGCATCTTCGAGAGCTTCTTCACACAGACGCATATCAACCGAAGACCTCACAAGATGTTCTGGGCACTCTTCTTCGCTGTCACCGCTTTGCCATTGGCATCCGCGCTCCCAATGGCCAGCAGCGACAATCTCCTCACGGCTATCCTCCCTCGATACGACGACATCTCGGACGATGGCATCACGGGCAACGGTGGCCAATTCTCCCCGTTCCCGAAAACAGCGATCATTGGAATTGTCGTACCGATTGTCGTTATTGGTCTACTCCTTGTCTTCTTTCGCACCGCTCTCTTCGGAGGCGCTCCCAGGACCAGGATCAATGGCTACATCAAGACAAGCGACGACGGGTCAACGCTTCCTGTCTATCGAGGGGAGAAGTATGCGCCGTCTCCTTCGATCAAGCCTCAAATGGCGACTGTCAATCCCACCGCTTGGCCAAATCTCCCCCGTTCGCCCCCGCCAGCTTACACGCCGACCTTCTCGCCCAAGTTGAACAATTCTGCGGCAAGCGAATGGCCAAGACCTGCTGCCAGGTGAAAACAGCTTTAGTATCGCCCAGTCCTCCGAATTCACGGAGGAACGCATCCAAAAATAACATAACACCTCGTGACGATAAGCCATCAAGGGCGGAACGAACACCTTCAAACCCCGAAAATCCCATCGCAGTCGCTGTGAATTAGCATCGATGCTGGATAGTGGGACTCAGCCAGCTCTCTTATATAAAGAAGCGAAACATAACCGACATGGTTAAATGCCGAAGGCAGTTGGCGCATGAGCGCACAATTCAGAAGGATAGATTCCAACACGTTGACCCTACACGGGCAATCTCATTTGTCTCAAGCGCACGACACGCAACACCAGATCAGGGTTGGCACGCGGTGCACGTCCCATAAGACCGAGAAGGAGTCTATGTCCGTTTGTGGACGTTGACAAAGACGAGTTTAGTCATCTCGAATCCATACTCATTATGATCCAGGTTTCAATTTACCGAATTTCGGATCCGGACATGAAGGAGGCTACGCAACAGGACAGATTCTTCCTGGATTGATAGATATAACAGATTGGAGCTTGGAGCCAGGAAGAAGGGCCGTCCAAGGAAGATTGACAGAACACATGAATAATAAAAATACTTGGCTTTTACTTTCATTGCCCATAGCCGTGAAACTGTGCACCGTTCCAACAGATCTTCAATGAAGAAAAGACTGATCCATACTGATCCATAAACTGAACGACAGTAACATAATGAACCAAAACGTCTACTAGCCGCGGCTTTGCTCGTAATGTTGCCGAGGAAAAGGTGACGCTTCTCAACGGCTTAGAGAAGTACATCTCCATCCGACACAGAAGAGCCTAGCCTTAACTAGCTCAGATCATCATCCACTCCGTCTTGACTCGTAACTCTAACAAGCTTTGGTGTTGCAGCTGGCCGGGCGGCGCTGAGGTGAGATCCTGCGGCACAACAGGCGGACTCTTCGGCACAGCGCCCAGCTATGCCATGTATTAATAATGGATGAATTTCCTACGGCCCGCCCCTTGGCCACGGGAAATTGGGCCCGAAAATCACGTCTCAGAGGCGCATCTGTTACGTACAAAGTTCATGATGGCTTCCGGTCCCAGCTTAGCGGCCTCCACCGAGGAGCCACATGCGGCTTGTTCCCGTCCCAGACAAATCCCTGATGACGCCGCAAAAGGATATTTCCTTGACTAACACGATATATCTCGACACGAAAATTTCTCTCAGTTCCCCCGTCACCGGAGCTTCGGTTCAAGCTGCTCTTCGTTCCGTTCGCGGAATTCCTCCTCACCCTCACTGTCCCTTCGATTGCCGCCGTCAACCGACCCTTCCCCAGACTCAACTCCTTTGGTCCAATTTCCGGGGTAGAGATGCCGGATCTCGTAGACCCCAGAGAGAACAATGAGGAGAAGCTTATTTGATCGTATTCCAAACAGGTCTCGGCCCAAAGAGAGCGTAAAACCTGGGGCAGCCAGCGATATCGGGTGAACACGAACATGTTTCGACTCAGAAGTAGTACGATGTTTTCCCTCGAGGCCCAGTTTTCGGCCGCTAGCGCTCGCTCCAGCCCTTCCAGACGCATTCTTTAAAAGTTCTTTGCTTCCTCAATACTCCGGGGAAATCCTCGCCCCATGCTTAAGGTTCTCCCTCCTCTCCCTGACACTCTTCTTTGACTCTTGGTTTCGAAACCTTATCCCCCAGCTTACGATTGTGCTATTACCCCTCAACTTTCTATCCTTTTTGTTTCCCTTCACGTCACTCCCGGGCCATTGTTTGTGTCCATGAAGTGGCCATCTGCTGCGTTTGTAGTTTCTTCGAACAGCGCTCGCTCGACTAACCCGTACTGAAGCTCGCCGTACCAGACGACATCAACTCAGCTGAGAAATAAGAAGAAGTAGTTGCCTCTCGACATCAATCACAAATTCAAGCCATCAATATCATCGTCCATCATGGGTTCCTCTGACGAGACGATCACTGGTTCGTCCAAGAACACCAAGCGGCAACCCATGGCTCAAGATGATGCCATCACATCCCAGCCAGACATTGACACCGCGGCTGGCGAGGTATCCGAACTCGAGAAGCGCAAGGCCCAGGATGGCGTGGCCAAGTTCTCCCGTCTGGGCTGGAAGAGACTGACCATCCTCCTCATGGTCACTGCCATTGCCCTCGGAACTCTCTCCCTGCCTGCTGCCTTTGCAACCCTGGGCATGGTACTCGGCGTGATTCTTACCATCGTCTCGGGTCTCTTAGCCATCTTTGCCGGCCTGCTCGTCGGCCAGACCAAGCTCAAGCACCCCGAAATCCACGATTACGCCGACGTCGGACGTGTCCTGTTTGGAAGGGTCGGATATGAGATCTTCCACTTCATGTGCATCCTGCAACTTCTCTTCCTTGCTGGCTCGCACTGCCTGACGGGAACCACCGCGCTCAAGGTCATCACAGCCAAGGACGTGTGCAGCGTGTACTTCGGCCTGGCTTCCGCCGCGGCCTTGTTCGTCATCTCGCTGCCCCCCAGCTTCGCCGAGGTGGCCATCCTCGGCTACGTCGACTTTGCGTCCATTGTCATCACCATCGGCATCACCATCATCGCCACCGGGATCCAGCATGACCCGTCCAACCCCCTCACGGCATCTGACTGGTCCGCATGGCCCAAGCCCGGCATCACCAGCACGGATGCCTTCATCGCCGTGCTGAACCTCGTCTTTGCGTACAGTTTCACCATCGCCCAGTTCTCCTTCATGGACGAGATGCACACTCCCCGGGATTTCAACAAGTCCATCTGGTCTCTGGGAGTCATCCAGATCACCATGTACGTCCTCACCGGAGCTCTGATCTACGCCTTCGTGGGTCAGGAAGTCCAGTCCCCGGCACTCTTGTCCGCCGGTACCACCGTCAGCAGAGTCGCCTTTGGCGTAGCCATCCCCGTCATCTTCATCAGCGGCGGCATCCTCATCGTCACGGCAGGGCGCATGATCCACGGCCGCATCTACGCCAACAGCATCACCCGCTACGTGAACACGACCAAGGGCTGGGTCACATGGATGCTCACCATCATCGCCATCGTCATCGTCGGCTGGTTCATCGCCGAGGTCATCCCCATCTTCAGCGACCTCGTCGCGCTCATCTCTAGTCTACTCAACTCGGGCTTCGCGCTCTACTTCCCCGCCCTGATGTGGTTCATGCTCCTGCGCGAGGGCAAGTGGAACACCCGCAAGAATCTGCTTCTGGGGGGTGCGAGCCTGATTCTCCTCGTGATTGGGCTTTTCTTGCTCACGGGCGGTACATATGCCGTCATTCGCAGCATTGTAAGTTTACCCATACAGTAGCCCCTAAATTTTTTTCCCCATGGGCTAGATACTAACGTGCCTCGTACAGGTTGAAGGGTATAAGTCAGGAGGAGTCAAGACGCCATTTACATGTTCATAGTGGGCTAAGAGGATGTACAAACATCTACCCCTATCTCGCCTAGTTTCTTGGGGCAATTTCACGCGAAAGCGCTGTATTATATAAAAGCAAGCCTCTTCTTTTCCTCCATTATCTCTCTTGCGTGAATGCTGTTATTATTGCCGGTATTTTAAGACTTTATCGGAAACTTTGTGGTGGCTGCCGGCCGATTACAATTTCCAGCTAATGCATGTCAAGATTCCAAGTGATAAACATAAACAAGTACCTACAAGCTTCAGGTAAAGCGCATGTAATACGAGGGAAGGCCATCTAATATCTCTTGAAGATTTATTATTTGACATCCTCACGCCCCATACAAAGGCTTATTGTCAATGCGAAGGTCAGTCATGAGTGCTTGATTCTTGGGTGCGTCCGGTGGGATATCACCGGCACCACAAGGAACTCGATCTCACGTCAACATAAGACTTGTGTAACATATTTTAGTGAGATACCGCGCCTAGAAGTTCACAGCCATCTATATCCATGCGTCTGGGCGCGACGCTGGGGGTTTCAATCTGGATATGGAATCACTTCTCTGTTCGACAATCAATATTGCCAGAATGATGATCGGGGCTAAATATATATTCGCCGCGTAATTCGCTGGTTCGAACTGCAATTACAGTAGTTCTAATACTATTCTATATCATTCATGCAGTAGCTAGAAGGTTCGGCATACAGCAAGTCAATTACTCTTCATTTCGTTTCCCAAAACTCCTAAGATTATCGTATTCGGGACAGCAACCTTATATTTGAGGTGTCCGACGTTGGAAATCTTGGCAGAATGAGTCAGGGGACGGCGTAATTTGGCTCATGGGTAGGAAGCAGGGCTGAGCCTGATGCCTCGGTCCATTTCTTCCGAGTCAGCCCACGTCACATGCCCTCAGGCGACGACGACAATTGCGCAACATCTTTCAACCTTTGAACCCCTCAGACCTACCCCAAAAAGGTTTCTCCAGCGTGACTATTCATTAGAATAACAGTGAATATGGGCTTGGCCGTATTGATCCATAGTAGTAAATTCAGACGGTAGAGCATCTGGCCTAATGACATGAAGGATTTTCACTATTGATCAGTCTAGAGCAGTTGATTGCTTCAGCAAGCCTTCTATTAACATCATTATGATATCCCAAGGTAAAAGTTCAGATAGTTTAAGAATTACAATACACATCAGGGCCTACGGAAAGTGCAGTACATGGAACAGCAAATCTATCCTGCGCATTTTGTCTTCCCAAGATCATCTCCAGCCCCAAGAATCAGAAACCGGCACTCTTCGCTTGTCTCGCCAATCCAATAACATCCACCCAGTTGGGGGGCCGGCATTGCGTATGCTTGGTCGCCTCTTCAGCGTCAAGTCCAAATTGCAACAGCGAATGCTCGCTTGCCCAGTCACCGGTAGCTATGAGGCCGACGGGTACTTTTCCAACAGAGTCGAGGTCGCCGTCGACCTCGCCTGCGTTCGGGTCCCCCTCTGGCCTGACATAGCCGGTGGGGATGTTGATGCTCGGGACGCCGCAAAAGTTGGCGAGCCATACGTACTCCATGGTCATCAGAGTGAGATCTCCGTCGCTGACGCCGTACTTGAGCTCAGACGGGGAGCGGATAGGCCATCCCGCACAAGACGTGGTGGGTGTCACAATAACCATGCCGGGGTACGTCTTCCATATCCAGGACAGATGCTGCATGAGGGTTCGGCGAAGCTTTTGAGCGAGGAGGTAGTCGGTGGAAGGGGTCACCTTGCCCAGGGCGAGAAGGGTGCGGTTGGCTGCAGAAAGACCCCGTGGATCGGGGAGCAGTGTCGCGCCATCGGTCAGAATCGTCATTGCATGTGCCATCTGGCCTTCGCGGAGAAATGGAATATCAATGGACACAACGGAGTATCCCTTATTCTGCACAAGCCAGTCGACTGTGCTTCGGCACAGCTTCTGGACAGCAGGCGAGGCTTTCTGAAACCAGACTTCGGGGATACCAATCACCTTGGGTCGCTTGGGGTCGATGATCAGCTTTCCGGTGCCCACAGATTCGGGGTGGAAATCAGTGCTTGGGTGAGGCTGGCTCAGCACGGAGTAGACTTCAGCAAGAGAACGAATATCGCTGGCGATTGGGCCGTTGGTAGCACATGTATTCGCGTGGTTCTGGCCCGGGTAGCACGAGAGTCGGCCGTGAGACGGCTTGAGACCAACGACGGAACAGAAGGATGAGGGAATGCGGATGCTACCACCACCGTCGCTACCCAGAGTCATGGGTATCAGACCAACGGAGACGGCGTACGCGCAGCCTGAAGAACTCCCACCAGGGTAATAATCACGGTTATAAGGATTGCGCGGCGTTCCGTAAAATGGGTTGTTTCCAGATGTGTCTAAGTTCGAATGTCAGCCCGATCAAAAGATGAAGAATCAGTCAAGTGAAAGGAAATCCGTCGGTAGGATGCGTACCCATTCCAAATTCATGCATTGAGAGTTTCCCGAGAATGACGGCGCCTGCCTCGGCGAGCTTTCTCACACACCATGAGTCGATTTTACCCTCGTCGTTCATGATACGACCAGTATAATCATTCAGGGAGCCCAGGGTGGTCTTGTAGCCCTCGAGGTCGAATTCATCCTTGATGGCTGTGGGGACGCCATCCAGCGGCCCAAGAGAACGATGCTCCTTGTATCTCAAGGTAGATTCCTCGGCCGCCTTGACAGCGAGGTCGACATTGACATCAAACCAGGCCACGGAATGCTCGCCTGGCGGCAGCGTGTCCCTCCGGATGAAGGGCAGGATGGAATGGACAACATCAAGTGGCGTGATTTCCCCAGCGAGGTACAGGGCGCGATAGTCGCCAACGCTGTATCTCTGATGAGGTGCAGGCGGAGGCGATGACACTTTATGAATTTCATCTGTTTGCTCAATAGTCTCAGACTCAGAGTCGTGGGCCCTGTCCAGTCTAGCCAGCGGGATGACGGTGGGATCATGGCGTGGTTCATTGTCTTCAATCAGCTTCTGGATCCGCCGGAGCGAGCTGAAGCCAGCACCGGCCCACACGATACGCCTGATGAAAGCGAACGTCTCCAGCCTAATTAATAATCCGAGTCAGCGATGCAGGCAGGCGTCAAGGTCAAGCGGAGGAGGCATTGGCTTACAGGAACACCGAGGCGACAAGAAACCATCCTCTCAAGGCTGGAAGAGGTTTCTTCGTCTTGGGCACATAAGGGATGCCCTCATTCCTGTTCGGCGGTCAGTCAGCGCAAATTAGGCGGTGGATGCTCCATGCCTTTGGGAGAAGAGTGGACTGAGGGACTCACGCGGGAATGGGGCGAGGGTAGAGGACGAAGCGCTCGCGCGGAGCATCATCATCATCGAAGGAGACCATGGTCGATGGAGTATTATACAGGGCGAGCTGCAGGTTGCATCGGCCGTGGAGGATGGCGCAGCTAAAATAATTAATTGGACGGATGGTGGGGAGACCAACCGCGGGAGCTCGTCCCGGACTGTTTCTGTTTCACGAAGGCCGCGCTGAAAGCCGCATCACCTCGTAAGTCGCGGATAAACGTTACATCGGCGCCGGAGGAATATTGAATGCTTACTAAGCCTGTCGTGTTCGTACCCGGAGTCCGCGGGTGGTAGGCTACCCTACACTTGTGATATCTACCGCCTTGACCAAGAGATGAGCTCATTGTTGACAAGATTCTAGATCTTGGAAATATCTTGAATACCTATTGGGGCCCTGCGTTGGAACAGTCAATTCATATTTCCATAGAGTGCGAATTTATTGGTGTCGAGATATCAGTGAAGACATCACCACTTAAACATATCAAGCCTCGCTCAAGCCATCAGTGATACCAATACATTACTACTACCTAGCTTCCAGATACATAAATCGAATTTTCCATCAATCATAAAAAAAATCATGAAGCACAAGTATTCCAACCTCAAATCCCCTCGGGAGGAAGAACTAGTCCATCCTCCCCCTTAACCTCCACGACACCCTCCTTCCCTTTCCACGAATATCTCACATGCAACGTCTTCTCCTTCTCCGGGTTTGGATCCCAGAATCCAGGAATGCTAGCCAACCGCAGCCCGGGGGGAACAACCAGCTTACGCCCCTCCTCGCTCAGCAGCGCCGCCAGCGCAATCGTCACATCGGCCACCTCCTCCCCGCCCCAGCTGGACCCGTCTCCCTCCTGGACACCGAACTTGGCGCTGAGAATCACCAGGCTGTCTCCCCCGCCGGCCAGCGAGAGGTGCTTCTGGCGAGCGGCGACCGGGTGCGCGAGGAGGGTTGTGAGGAGGTCGGCTCGGTGGCGCTGAGTAGCCACCGAGGCGGGTGTCGCGCGCCCCTGGTGGCGAGGACGCCGGGGACGCCCTGCTGCGGAGGGGAAGAAGAAGTTGTAGGCGGCGGCGGCGGCCAACGTAGCTGTTGATGTCCAAAAGATTAGTCTGCTGGAGGCTACGGAGGTCTGGTATGTTGAGATGAGGAGAGGGAGGGTGAGGCGCTGGCCGAGGCGCGACCAGTGCAAAGACAGATGCAGGGAGTGTTCCGTGATGGCGACCTCCAGACCTAGCTTGGAAGAACGGCCTACGGAGAACAGGCTGCGCAGGGCTAGGTGTTTCCCCTGGAATGCATCTGTGCAAGCTTCGGCTTCGAAGAGCAGCGGGGGCGAAGGAGATGTAGCCAAGCGGTTGGGAAGGGGTAATGTTCTGCTGTAGCGAGCATAGCCTCCAACGCCAATACTACCACCAGTTGTGGTCACGGCTGCTGTCCAGGAACCGAATCTATCACTGATGTAGCTTGGATTGTCGGATAAGTTGAACTTGGCTGGGGTCGATGAAGGGAAGGTCTTGAACCCAGCTTCGAGGCTTGGAGGAGTCCGTAGTGGGAACTCGACGAATCTAACACCGTGACCCAATTTGGCGAATCCTGTCAGAAACCTGCAGACTCTTTCTCCCGCCGAGCTCTTATCGCCACTGTCAATTCGGATGAATGCCGTACCACCCGGCAGGCCATGTCGAGCACCGACAGATGCTCGGGGCGGCGAGAGCGTCAGGTCGGCAGGGCAAGTAACACTTGCGTCGAACGCTGTCGGGTTTTGAGTATTTGGCAGTAGAAGCTGGTGGCTCACCCGAGTGGTAAGAGTCTGGTCCGGCAGGACAGTTGATTCAAGCTCTACCTCCGTCCGAACCCATTTCGATGCCCCTGGCTCAAGCCGAGCTAATGATTTATTGACAACACCTCCATGGAGGGTAGCTGTAGCCAGAGGCGCCAACTTACTCTCAACAAGCTGTGCTAGACTTGTTCGCGGCAGCGTCGCGGGCAGCAATGGCTGGTAGCGATCGGAGAGAATCGTCACGGGCACTGATGAGACCTGGTCGACAACGCCATAGGCGGCCCCGGAGATGGTGAGAGAGGGAAGCAGTACGCCGAATTGATGCTTCTCTGCAAGTCTTTGTATCAAGGTGCTCTTGGCTGCTATCGTCATTGAATGACCCAAGGCGTAGTCGAGCCCCCTTGAAGCAGAAGAAGATTCTCGACCCTGCCCTCGAAGGCGTTCCGACGTACGTCTTGCATCAAAGCGGACGCCCAAGTGCGAGCTTGTTAATAACTTGACGTCCGAGTCACGCGATTGAGGATACTGACCCAGGGACCCATTGACCGCAAGATCGCCGAGGCCTAAAGTATCTCGATTCCGGCTTAGATCGTACTGCGCTCGCCGTTCCGGGTTGATGAGTGTCTCGAAAGCCGCCTGGACTTGCAAGAAATGCTCCTGGGCTATGCCGCGCTGATCTTCTGGGTAACTGGCCGGGTAAAAGAGGAGGAAGAGCCGGTGGTAGGCTTCTCGGATGTCATCCTGGGAGAGGTCTCCTCTGTCAGAGAGGACCAGAAGCTCGTACAGATCTGGGGATAGTCCATCATCTATGCCCTCTCCATGGTCCTGGCCTCCAACATCCGCCGGGTCCAAGAGAGACCTCGAGTCTGCATATTTATCACCGCCAAACATCTTGGAATAAATGGAGCTGGCATCATCAAAGCCAAACTCGTACTCCTGGCGCGTCGCCGCAAATTGATCATTCAGCGAGTAGCGTGAGCTGGGCCGGCGCAGACCGCTCTGCTGAGAGGGGTACCGACTGTTGTCATCCTGGAATACAAGCGAGTCCCTCGCACGGCCTGCGTTCCTCGCGCGAGGGACGCGAAGGCTGCTGTTGTTATTGCTGCCGCCGTAATAGTCCGACATGGTGCGCGTAGGGACGAGGGGGAGAAGTGAGGGGTAGACATTTTGGCAAGGCGCACCGACTCCGTGGGCATTTTAAATTTGAAACGCTTCGTCTCGTCTGGCGCGACGTTCAAAGGGTGGGAAGATGGGCATTAACCGGGCACGAATTTCATGCGTTGACTCACTCGAGCCAAAGCATGAAGGACGCCAGAGCTAGCCAGGGGTCTGGGCACAAGGCAGCGCCCATAACTCATATGAGATGATGATGTAACGCTGGGCAGGGGTCTTCAAATGGGTGGTTCGACCTCTCGCAAGACGTGTGGGGGGAGGACTAGATGATTGGATCATGATGGTGATTTTGTCTATCTATCTATTTTATCTATATTTATTGTATTGTGTCTTTGAAAACACTTTGATCAAGAACAAAATGAAAGGCTGGGATGGTCTAATGGGTATACAAAAGGAAGCTACTGATAAACAAACAAGTGAAAACAAATCTAATCCATTTTTGTCTTTGAACGAGTGTGATAGCCAGCGAAGGCGTGTTCGTGGCATGAAGTCTCAAGCCAGGTGGTCCGTCTCTTTATACTCTAGCCAGGTTCGTGAAGCTGACAATACCGTTTCGCCTTGAGGATAAAACCTCGTCTGTAATCGGAGCCACTGGCCCTGCTTGGAAATGGAAATGCCTAGTTGCTCGAGCCCTCCACGTCCTTCGATAATGGTGGGACTCTTCCTGTGGTTGATCTTGCTGCTGCTCCGGTTCGCGGCTTTTGTCGTCCCCATATGCCCCCTCCTGCGTCTGCGCCTCTACATTGCCCATGCTATCCAGATCGAATGACTCCGACTTCCTGTTGATCGAGATCTGAGGCGGGTGCGGCAGGTGAGTGAGAATGAGGACAACCATGAAACAGATGGTAATGATGGGCAATTGCCAAGGTGTCACGAGGAACTTGAGCGTCAGCTGGGAATTGACAGAGATGATGGCGACAAGGCCCAACCCCAAGCCTATGGTGAAGACTGTGCCGGTGCGGAACCTATTGAAACCAGTCCATCCACTGCGCTTCGATAGGAGATGAAGCATCATCAGGAGAGCGAGAACGGTGCCCGCACTTGCGAATAAATACGAGAACTAGATTGGCACTGTTAGCGATTTGATTTCTTACGACAAGCGAGGACGGGTCATGATAGAGAACAGAACGTACGATGAGCTGGAGTCTATCAAGGGTCTTTCTGGTAGCAGCAAGCTCAGCAGCGCCGAGGCTATAAGATGAGGGGTCATCGTCGTCCTCCACCGCGACCGAGATGTCAAAGGCGTCACTAATAGTGTTCATAACAGTACTAGTTATCGCCAGGTAACCCTTGGCCCATGTCTTATAGGATTCCTTGTCCGATCTCGGATGGAGGGTTGCCCAGAAAGTATCGGGAATGTCCTCTAGACTCTCCAATGCCGTGTTGAGGTTCTTGGTAGCACTCTCGAACTTTTTCGGGTCTCCAACGTACTCCCACATCATGGCCTGGGCCGAGACGCGCAAAGATGTGACGACGGTGCTTGTATCGAGGGTTTTCATCCCTGCCCGAGCGGCGGCCTCGAGTGCGTCGCCCGCCCCATGGATGGCTTCCATGAAGCGCCACCAAACAACCCATTGGTTACCGCCTTCGGCGAGGAGAACAAGGGCAATGTGGAATGGGAGATGGACGAGGGCCCAATACGCTTGATTTGAGGCACTCATGTGATTGTGGTGGTGCATCCAGTCGAAGTACAGCTGAAACGTGATGTACGTGATTGCGGCTGCAGAGGTGATGATGCCGATGAGGGCGGGGGCTGGCGGGAGAGCATGTCAGTAGGCTGTACACTGAGCAGATATATGACGTGGGGCAAATACCTACACCAATGATCCGATATTTGCTTAATATAGGTATATTCGACCACTTTTGTAATATTCTTGGCGAGAATGATGACGCCCTCGCCGAGGATGATGAGCGTGAGCAGGTTCAGCCTCTCGTTGAAATGCGTACCCTCGAAGCTCAGAGTCTGGGAAAAAGTGGCGTGGAGAATGTGAACGGCCATCTCGATAATGCCCCCAAGATACCAAGTGAGCACAAGATGTTTATTGGGTTGTGTAGATGGCACAACAGCGATGATGAGGTAAATCAGCGCGGGAACAAGGTGCAGCACGATGGCCACAAGCAGCGAGTTGCGGCTTCTCGGATGATGGCGCGCATGCAAGAGAACCATGCCATACTGTGCGGCGAGGACCAGCCTCGAAACCATGAGGAAAAGCGCTATACGGTCAGCATATCAGCTTAAAGGTCTTCTCATGTCGGTGGATGGTTGAATGTAGTTGGATATGTCCTTACACATTGACTGGAAGATGGCCCTGACGAGATTCTGGTTCTCAAATGAAACACCAGCTTCAGCAAAACCAACCATGACAGCGAGATGAAATGCGCGGGCGATACGCTCGAGGATCCCATCTTGACCAAAACGAGCATCGAACAGAGTTGTAACCAGCCATGTCGTCCAGAGTAGACTGAAGGAAGAGGTTAGCCATCATTTCTTCGTGGCAGAGATCGTGTAGAGAGAGAGAGATATCTTACATGAAGTATCCGATGAATGATGCCAGTGTATCCTTCTCAGTGATTGGATGGACTGTGGCGAAAACATTCAGGTTGGCCACAAACCAGAGATCGTAAAATAACTATACGAGATGTTAGAAATAACATGTGCCTGATGGAGTGCGGGTATATTAAGCTACCTCGGAAGTTGAAGCAGATTCTCTCTAATACAACAGTAATGTTAGCTGCTGGTTCGGTAAGGTATGTGGATGGTATATGCCTGCCCCGTCTTACCTTGGCAAACTGAAGGGGAGAGCTCTCTAGGCTGGCGGGACGTTGAGACTCGACATCGGGGCTTGGAGCTCGGAGCTCCTCGATTTTGTGCAAACTCTCGGCGCGATGGCCGTCTGCGGCCGCCTCCTGGATAGGGTTCGAGGTGATTCCAAGCTTGGAACTGGCGAATCGAAGGTTGGAATCTCGACGATCTATGACGGTGATGCTTCTAACGCTCGAGGCGATGAGAGTGGCATCGCCGCTGCACCCGCTCTCGCTCCGGCTGCCGTGATGGGCCTGCATCATCTCCGGAGACTGTATGGAAAAAAAAATTACGTGAAATGCATTCTAGCGATTAGCGAGGGACGGGGATGCCAAGAAACGATATATGTATGAAGGAAACGATCTACGTGGGAGTGAGAAACAAAGGTGGGCTGTGTCGGGATGGACTGAGAAGGCGGCATGTTCAGAAGGGTGCAAGTCCCTTTGTCAATAATTGGATTGCATGCTGTGCTTTCTCCCGGCAAATCACTGCCGTGGCAGAAGAAACGAGCGTATGCTTGGTGAGCAGAGTGAGACAAAGCTGATACGGGCGAAACAGATTGACGTCTGGCCAGGAGAAGCTGGCGCGGGCGGACCGGCGGTCTGTGTAGCTAAGCGCAAGCCAAGGGATCGAGTTCGTCCGGCCCAATCAAACCGTGGACTGTGATAGATAGTGACGCGCCAATCTCGATATAACAACACGGGAGAGCGATCGGGAGCAGCGAGCCGTGTCGGGATGTGACCAGACGGTGTGATGATGCCCGATCGTTGAGTGAACCGTGCTGATCGCTGCGGTTGTGCGCTGTGGCATCTTCCAGTGGCCTCTGCACCTGTCGTGATCGGTAATACAGGGCCTAGACGCTTCTCTAGCGCTCCGGAAGCCTGCAGCTCAGTGGGGCCCTGCGCTGTGACGGATCACGGAGCCTTCTGTGCCAATCAATGCGCAGCCATCTGGGATCTTCGCGGCGGCTTCTGACACAAGTTGACACAACATCTGCCTGTCCATCCAATACAAGAAAGTACTTGCTGACCAATGTACTGGCAGTAGGCTCCCGATTACCCGATGGCCTGCATGGGCTTCGTGTTTGCTTGACGCGTTCCTTGGAGATGCCAGAGCAGAGACAGGCAGCGCCCGCGGCAGTCTTGTGCCGACACATGGCCTCCCGCCCAACCTGACTGAGCGTATCAGGGCTTCAGGGCGTATGAATGGATAACTTGAGTATAAGCATTCTCTGGCATAAAATACCGGTTGGGCATACATCCGGCGCCTGGAATGTCTTGTCTGACGCAACTCTTGGTGGCTCTGTTGTCTTACCTGCGCCTCCCAAAACCTCCCAGCGTGTTTCTCACTTCAGACACCATCCATCATTGAGTATGCATCTGCTGTGCAGATCTCGCCATATCATCCGTCCTGTCTGATCGCCACTTGTCTACGTATGGGCTAGATGCGTCCCCGGGAACGGCACTAATTCATGAACCAAGGCCGCCTGCAATTGCCTACACCGAAGGCATCTAGCCCCGTCCTGTCTTGCATTTTAATATTTCCCCCCTTTTCTCCCCCCCTGCTAGTTTGTTCCAGTATGAGAGGGAGTATTTGGGAAAATAATGAACACGGCGCTAGCTAAGTAACGGTGCCTGTTCTCAAACAAAGCATCAATGTGGAAAATACAGGGCCCAGGAAAGGCTCGACCACCTGGCCAGTTGGTGCTTATTTTGTGGACGTTCCAGCCTTTTACCTGTGTATTAATAGCTTCAGAGTCAAAGCTCAGACTTTTCTTGCCCGTGACTTTAATTCATTTAGGTACATGTAGTCATGACTTTTGTTCTGCCACTTCCAGCTTGTTGAACCCCTATTCCATTTTGCCATCATGGCGATCTCGAAAACAATATTTTTCACGCCCTCAAGTACAGAGGTGTGACCTAGCAGGATGGCTTGAGGAGACACTCAACTGATCAAGGGACTTCAAGGATTGGTTAGGCGGACGAGGAAACCCCAAATCTTCTTGCTGAAGCTATCTATTTTGGAAGATCATTCAAGCTGACGACTGAAACCCATATGTTCTCCTTGTTCTCGCTGTACGCCACCAACAATTTATCTCCGACCTGAACGGCGGTCGGATAGCTGAACCCGTGCGCTCTGCTCTTCAACCCGTCCCTCGTATCCGGCGCAATAACATTGCTTGCATTGGTCCTCAACACGCCAACACTTCGGTAAGCCTGATCTTCGCCCCTGGACATGGCCAAGGTCAAAGGTTGCCGTTCACGAACCTCACTGTTCCATCGCGGATTCCAGACCAGGTACCTATCTCCACTCTCCGCAACTTGGCCCAGATATTGTTTCGTTCTGGCGTCGGGGATGTTAGTCTGCAAAATCTCGTTCCCGTACTGAGCAAGCCGACGGGGATACCATCCCCTGCCCTCCGTTTCCTCGTTGTACTCGACCCATATCTTCTGGGTGTTGGCCGAGTCCCCCGAGATGTCCCTCCAAAACCGCTGCCAGTATCCCCCTGTCGGCGACGAACTGTCATTGAACCACACTGCATGCGTCTGTTCCTGCATAGAGTGAGAGTCATCTGCCGCAAACAGCTCGTTATTGTACAGCCAGGACGACCACGCGGGAGCCTCACTGGGCTCTATCAACTTCTTGTTGATCTCGCATGCCCGCTTGCACCCTTTCATCCCGTACTTGGTGCCGTACACGGTCTCATTGAAGAGTTGTGAATGCGTCAATTCATTCTTCTCGATCCAGCAGGGGTCGCCCGCCGGCTCGCCATCAAATGTGATGCGTCGTGCGATACGGCCTGCCGTCATAAATCTCCCGGGACACCAGCGCGTTCCCGACTGCCCAATGGCATAGAGCTCGCCCTCCCCGTCCGGTGCTGGCAGGTGCACAAAGCTCAGCGCCTGCCAAGCCCGCTGTGCGGCCTTGATGTCGCAGTAATATGTATAATTATGGTGGGCATCCGTCTGGTTTGGAAGAAGTGCGGCGGGGAATAGGCTGGAGCTCGGACCCCAGGTCATGCCTCCATCCTTGGATGTGCTGATCCAAACGTCCTGGCCCATGCTGTCCTCGTCAATGGGAGCGGAGGAGTGAATCAGGTAGACATTGTCCCCGTGAGTGAAAAGTTCTGGGTGATGCGCATAAGTGCGCCCTTCCTTGACTCCATTGTATATCTCGACCTCCTTAATCACGGGGATCTGGTCCCATCCAGCATAAAGGGTGTCACTGTAGTCCAAGTCTGGTTGGACCTGCCATAGCGTTGAAGGGTCTGGCGGAATTGCTATCGCAAGTGAGGCTGAGAAGCCAATGACCGTGGCAACCTTTCCCATCGGTATATGCATTTCTTATGTCCAAGCCACCCTGCCAGCTCAAAGTGGTCACTGTAGTGTGTAGTTTGTGATAAATCCTACTTAGTTCTCCCCTCTCTGATATATGTATATATGCTTGTTGTCTTTCATCTTCCCCACCACCGGTAATTCCTCCGTGCCAAGCGAAAATACCAATAACCGGCGAATGAGAGTTCATCTTATGTTCCGCGATCCTTTGTTGTCACTATGGAAAACTACGCCGGCTAATATCCCCCATGCGGATGCATCAGAGAGAATCCACCAACTGGCTAAACAGATTCATAGGGGCTAGAGAGTTTCCTGGAACAAATGATAACGATTATCGGTCATCTCCGTGTTAACTTGACATCGTTTCTGTCATTAATCGTTTTGCGCTCGACCAGTTCTGCTCTGACTTCATTCATGGATTCTAGAAGATCAGGGAAAACAAAACGAACAACCCTACCTAGTAAATCTCATATTTTTAGATACTTATAATTTTGACGGCTACTCTTTGCGGCAAAGGATAATCTGCATTGGATGCGAGGTTGGCAGTTCTGCTGTCTAAATATCTAGAATTTTGAAGTCAACGCTTGCCCGGATATTCCTACATGAATAGAGCTTCATTTTCAAAAACTTGCTGTAGCTTTACTTGAGCGTATATCCGACCATGACCGAATACATTACTTTTCCGATGACCTACATTGCGGTAGTCACACCCTGATCTTTCTGCTCGCTGTCAATCGTAACCCTGTCGTCATATGTAACTGTTATCACATCGGTTCTCGTGATATGTCGACCGTGCATCTGAGCCTTCTTCCTATCGGTACCCTTGCTGTCCTTGGGGAGAATGCTCTCCTGGGAATCCAAGTCCGGGTCACCCGAACGAGAGCCAAGGGTATGCGTTCTTGCTGTATGCTGGATTCCCGAGCGTCCGATTTTGGAAAGCTCCATATCCCCAGATCGGTCGTTGTGATAATCGTAGTTCTTGTAGGATGACGAGGAGCCACTGAGTATCTTCCGACCGAACAGAATCTCCACCAGTGGTTGCAGAATGGGGATGCAACAGGCGATGACTGTGCTGGTTGCCTCGGCCCTGCGTGCATGGAAAGGTCAGTGATTGGAACGAGTGGGAAACGAATCTGCTGCGTCGGCTGCAACTTACGCGGTCCAAATGACCAAAACTGCCGTATCATCTTTGCGAATGGTTAGTGGTCTGATCGATTCTTAGAGTTCAAACATAACACAAAGTCTCTCACAGATAAAGTCCGGCGAAGCCAAGGAGTCTAGGCGGGTTGATTTGTATATGGCGACGCCGCAGGAGCTATAGAGAACATTAGCCTACCGCTACTGACTTGCAAAGGCAACACGACTGACATCGATCCGATACCTAGGGCAACAGAAAGGGCCGTCTTCTTTCGGATGTTTATCTGTAGTCCCCATAGTATCATTGCGGGATAGATGGCAAGGTACAGATCCGTAAAGGCCGAGAGCGCTGCTGCAGTCAGCATGACAGATGTCATCGGACACGAGCATCAAAACCAACCTCCTGTATAGATAGAAAAATCGATGAGCACCCACGGGCTGATACACTTCCCTTCTGGTGCACCACCCCACATGAAAGCAGCTGGGGTACATTGCGCAAATAAGATGATGATGCAGATGATGACGGATATGAGGCAGAGCCATGGTAGACCCCATAGAAAGGCGTGGTGCACCCTGGATGGGTTTAGCAGTCTGCTGAGGAGCGCTGCCACGGCGAATTTCGGAATTGTGAAGGACAATACGCCAAAAGGGAATGACAATATGGTATAAAACTTGGCATTTCCTTGCTGTCCAAGAGTGAGTGTGTCGGTGTGTCGTCCGCTTCCGTGCGCAACGGCTACGATGGCCGTCGCAGTGTTCGCCCATCCAAACGCCTAAGATTACATGGGACCGTTAATCGATTGCTCGAGCATTGTGGAGGGCGAGGGATGTGCGGCACTCACAGTAGCCAGAATTATCAGGTAGTCATCGACGTGTACATTTTTCATGATATGTTTTCTCGTAAACAGGCGGAGGCAGACGAAAACGGTGCCCAACATCCACAGCGTAATGCAGGCTGCCTTGATGGCTGGGCCTTTATCATTCTCCATTGGTTGAAGATCCGGTCACCAGAGTCGAGTCCATCAACGAAGACGTTGCTGCAACCGTCGTATGGAGTGGATAGCGAGAAAGAAAAGAAAAGATCTAGAGTTCAAGGAATCCCCGGGACTCGTGATCTTGAATAGATCTCCTTGATCTGGCCAGGGTCCTCCAGCCCCAAATCTTATTATTGGAGCTAGATCTTGATACCAAGTCCATGTTGAAGCCAACCCACGCGAAATCTAATCGCCCACCACTTTGCGCCTTGGTGCCCTTTAGCCAGCCGATCGCCCGCTTTTTGTATCCACATGTTTTAATTCATAAGAGGTACAAGATGGCAACATACAGGCACACCTGAGAGCTTCCCTGTTGAGACCGGGCAGCTCGGCCGTGCAACGGTCACCCCTCTCAACATAAGATGTCTCAGTCTGCTCCGTATTTGCTGTTAACAGATGACGCCCAGTTTAACTTCCTAGGATTTAATTGTCGCGGCAGTAGACGGCTAAGGTAGGTCTGTAGCAATCTCTCGTCATGACGCACATAAAAAAAGTCAAGTCCTTGTGATAGGAACTGACTATAGAGCGTAGCTACAACGATTTCTCTCTTATTATCATGTGACGTACACAAACGGGCCTCGTCTCGTCAATGGAAACACCGGTCAGGGCTATACGATCACCCACCATGTGTACATTTATGTAGATACTATCATATGGGGATGGTTTTGATTGGCTCTGAACGGAAAAGCGGTGGATGGGTAGCACGTGGTGGCTGACCAGAAGATTACGTAGCCCAACATCACACCCATCAGTTGTGAAATCTCCCCCCTTTGATGAGCCATGCTATTGTTCCGTAATTACTGCTTGGTCTCGCCAGAACCAGCCAAGCCCACGGATCTGCAAAAACAAGACTAACGCGGGATTGCGTAACCGGCCAATATCCAATGGCCGTAGCCCCTCTACGTTGGCCCTACGAGATCTCCTCCACAATGCAGAAGGCCCATCAGGTTAGGGCGGCAAGTGGGTGACATTGAAATTGAGACACTCAAACATTAAGCTGCTTATTGTCAAGTCTGTGATGGGTATTATCAGATTATTGAGTGCTAATAATACATACGACAGAGATAATATAGCGGATATTATCACTTAATTTTATTTTATATAACTGAAGTTCTCTATTAATTATAGAAAGTAGTCTGTTTATAACCATCTCTTCCATTAGGTGTCTCATTTCTCCTGTCACCCACTTGGGCGGTTAGCTCAGTCTTCCGTGCCCAGCCGCTGGAGCCACCATCTTGGCTTACGGAACAATGAACCAGTACCATCTATACTAGCGAATCAACCAAGGGTAGTTCCCGAGAGCGATATCCGGTGTCCGGTTCTCGCCTTTAGCATAGACAGAAGGCAAATAACGGATGGTGAGCTGTCCTGAAGCGATTATCAAGGTACAGAGACGGTTTTAAGCCTGCAAACATTATGCGAGATACCATTACCAACATATGGTTAACAGCCTCAACAATGAACTAACGTGTGTCGTATGAATGATCTCTGTTCACCATTATTTTGCATTATACATATTATACATGCCTATTGCAGGGGTTCAAACGTGCACGGTGATTGTTAGTCGGAGCTGGGATGCTTGTCCTACGCTGGCCCAGTTGTGGCTTGATTGGCGTAAGGGACAAGGTTGGTTGGTTGGATAGGCTATTGGAATAGAATACGGGCATATTGTTAGGTTACGTGCATGCATTGGTTTCGTGTTAATAGCAGACTGGCCGACGCTGCCAAGTTGTCGGCGCAGAATGATGGACGCAAGGCCCTGATCGACTGAAATGTGGTCTAGAACAAGACCAAGTGATAGTCTCATGGAGCCCTTGTGAACTAAAGCATTCTGGGCCATTGCACGCCAAATAATAATGAATGCAATAAGAAATCAATGGGCTATAGCCTACCTAGGTAGACTGTGATCGCCCAGGCTGGTAGTTTCATCGACAATATCAGCGCCTCCGAGAATGCTTACGTGTCCTCGAAAAAGAGTAGTTATGAAACAGTAATGAGAAAAGAGCGAGATCAAACATTGTTTAATTCACTTTGGAGTCACGGGCAAATTCTTTTAGCACTTTGTAGGCAAAATCGAATGGAATATGTAGTCAAACATGGTTCATTTTGTTATATCAACTACCATACATCATATGCCAACATGAGGGATTCTCTGCCCCAGGATGAAGCAACAGACAAAGCCTTCTAGTCGGAGGAGTTCTGAGTGGTGATCTGACCACCGTCGCTATGGACAACCCTGGCATTGGCAGAGCCAGTGGTAAAGTCAACGGTAGCTTTGTTGAGGCCAGCCATCTCCACATTCATGACCTGACCAGATGTGTAGCTACCATAGGTAATGTACCACTTGTTGATAGGCTGAATCTGGTAGGTGCAGTTTGGCTGGGGAATGATGGTGGCGGCGGGGAGTGTCTTCCCGTTGACCACCTTACCGAGGCCAATGACCCAGTTGTCTGCACAAGGTCTTGTGTTAGGACTCAGGGAGGGGAAGACTATTGGAGGTTCGAGATCAGCCACTTACTGTCCTTGACATTGCTAAAGGTGAAGCCGTTCTGGGGAGTACCAGGGGCAGTGTTGATGGCAAAGGCGCCAGGCTTGCCGCTCGGGTCGAGAGTCTTAGGGTACTGGGGAGCCTCCTCAATGATATCCATGAAGAGAGTGGTGCCCTTCTTGGCGTTTCCCTGGAGATCCGCAGTGCCAACGTCAACAGCCTTGGAGTTCGAGACGTTGACGGCAACGTTGTCCTGACCGGGGACTCCAGTCGAAGAACCAACGTAGGCAAAGTACTGAGAGGTGATGGTGAATGTGGTGGAGTCGCCAGGCCCGGCGTTGGCGACCTTCAGAGCGTTGTTCCAGACTTTGGAGCTGACAGTTGAGCTGACCTCCGGGGGCTCGTTGAAGAGGGCATAGTGCTGGGTGGCTCCAGAGTTGTTCTGGACGGTGATGGTGTATGTGTTAGGCATTGTGGGGTAGTTGTCTCGGGAGAGAAGTAGTATAAAGGTAGGAAAGAAGGAAGAAGATAGTGAAGATGCTACAGTTTGTGTGTGGTGAGAATGTTGTGTCTGATTCCTCGTTGAACGGGAAGGTTATCGGTGTGCTTTATACTTTTTCTTCGTCCCTGGAGACATTGTCAAGCTATGAGCAAACCTTCCAATTTGTGCTTGAACCGAAGCTGGGGATTGTTGAACCGCCTGCCTCGGGAGACCTGCAAGCCATGGTCTACGCTATTCCAGGCAGCTCCTAGCCCTGCGTCTTTCGATAGTCCATTGGTCGAGACCGTGAAGTTTCTCGTGATTCGTACGTCTCTCAGGTGAGCCAAGAGGCATCCGCCAAAATGTGGAGGCCAGGCTACTGGCTCTCATGCACCCGATATCACTTCTCGTCTCTCTAGGGGAAGGCTGAGGCAGAGGGTATTGATGCAGCTCAGTCAAGTTCAGGAATGGTGGCTAAAAGGAGTCAAGCTGAGCTGTTATCAGCCCTAGCTGAACGTGTGGCGATGAGGGGTGAACCCCTGCAGATGTTGCTAACTGACGTGCCAAGTGCTATAGTGCACGTCTCGGGCCGCTTGATGGCAAGGGCTGGAGAGGAGTTCCCGTGACCACCGTCGCTCTACTAGTGTCAAATACCCTTGTGGCGCAGGATGGCTCTGGACTATTCCAACTAGCCCTGTGATATTACCGCCACTAGTAACCGGTCAAGTCTCACAGAGCCGATGTGTCATGTATGTTGTCAATGTATTATGTATGTACCCTTCGGTAAAATTGCGGTGTGTCAGGAGGCTGCGAGGAAACGCTGGTCTCGTCCGTAGCGGGACTATGGGCGTGTATGTGTCCTGTCCCTGGACGAATGATAAAGCAGCAGCACGGCCCGTCCTCTCCATTCTGCCTCGGAAGTGGCAACTACCCCAATCTATCAAATTGATATTCTACCATATTCAGCAGCCATGTCTAGCGGCCCATCATCCAGCCCCAATCCTACTGATGGATCCTCAAAGCGCGACCTGAGATACGTCGATCTAGGCCCTGATGCACCTGAACCTTGGTCGAAATGGTCCAATGACCCATCCAAGATGAAGCTCGATACATATTTCTGTCTCAACAATCCAAGTAAGTTTCAGAATACAGGGAGGAAAGAGATCGCCTGGGATGTAATTTGACTCTTGTTGATTCAGACGTTCCTGATCTCGCGGCGGCCTACAAGCTGCCAGGACTGAAGCCTGTCGTCGTCAAATGTGGCAAGCCTGGTTCGGGGTACAAGTTCTTGTTGAAGGATGACACAAACTCTTTCTTTTTATTTAATGAAGATGCAAATGAAATGTATAGATTCACGGAGACTCTCCGTGACAAGGACGCTGTTGAGCTTGTTGAAACGGGGACCTACGACATCACGAAGCTAGAGATGCAGTACCAAGTTAGACGGCAGGGTCAATCGGGGTAGTTTACATCGAGTTCACTACGAGAGTATATCAATTGACAGCCATCATTCTTGAAAGATATATGCTCATTAATCACGTAGTGGCTAGGCAACCGAGCTTGTCGGCGTGAATGAACCAACTGTCGTGCTCTGATCATCAGTAATGTCATTGTCATTCTCAGCCGTGATTGCGCCGCCCCCTGTTACGGAGATATGATATAGAGCGGAAGGAGATTCTTCCCACGACATTGCATCCAGTGCCATCATCCTGTTCCCAGGATTACTCGGAGGCGCAGGGGGCACCTGCACTGTGAGATTATTGTTCGCGTCATGGACGATCGAAACACGGTCTGTGGCCAGCTGGTCAAAGTCCACGAGGACTGTGTCGGTGCCGATCTCTTGCGGCTTTTTTACGAGATCGCGGGTATTGAATTCGCCCATCGTGATGTAGAATTTGTTGGACGGCATGATCTGGTATGTCTGGTTCGGAACGGGGACGAAGGTTGCGTAAGGGCCGATATCTTGACGGACAGAGCAGCTATATCCAATGAAGAACTTATCTGATCAAGATACTAGGTAAGTACAACGGCACATTCAAGAGAGCGATCATGGGGGTTGGAGACATTGCTTGCGTACGTACTTGAAGCTGCCTGCTGGGGGACAAAATCAGTTCTGGTCCTAATAGCGAAAGCCCCCGAACCAGCCGTGGCTCTTGCCGTCACCTTTGAGAAGCACGGGGTTCCATGGGAACAGTCGATCTCGAGCACGGTGCCCGACACGAGAGTTCCGTCGAGGGATTGGGACCCCAGGTTCACAGACTGCTGGTCAATCACTTCAGTCCCCGTTCCCACTGGCTTCTTCTTCGGATCGGGCGGCGTTGGGATGTTGTAGTCGACGTCGTAGATACCGCAGGTGGCGATGAGCTCTTTCGATAGGATGAAGGTAGCCTGTCCGTGAGGATTGGCCACCCCCTGCACGCGTGTGATGATCCGGGTCAATGTCGGGGTACTTGGTGAAATCGTTGGAGGTTCAGCATACAAGCCGTAGCTGCAGGTGTCTTGTGACCTGTTGTTGATAGTGATTGTGAGAACTGTCATGATTGTGGCCGGGAAAGGAGCTGACTGAAGCGGATGGCTAGGGAAGCGTAACAGGGGAGGAGACTTTGTGTTTGACAAGAGACGATGGGGAGCTGGTCCACATGGGATGGGGATGTCCTGCAACTACCGAGGAGGAATGTGGCGAAGCAACAAGGGCCTGAAAGGAGGGCGGCAACTCCCAAGTATCTCCACAAACCCCGGAATAGACGGCGCAAACTAGTGAACGCCACTTCGCAATCCAAGCTGATATTGGCCGAATAGTACGCAAATGAACCTAAGACATGCATCTGCCTAGACGAATCCGTCTTCGCTAAATTAGAGGATATGAATCATATGATGGCTCTTCTGCTTCCTGCAGTTCAATGTGATGGGCTTCTGCACGACGATACGCGCTGCAGCGTCTATTAGCACAGGCTGAGAATGTGGTGTCAGGTGTCTAACCATCGGGCACCCCGGCGGAGACTGATTATTCGCTCTCGTGGCTGGCTGAGACATGGGTGGCATGTCCTCGCATTATTAGCTGCTAAGCCAAAGCTGAGGAGTCTAGATCAAAAACGAACTCTTGAAGCTGCATGCCTTGATGGATGGCTGCACAGTAAGGAGTCACCGAATTAGTCAGGGCAGAAGCAGTGAAGCTGAGGTTCTCTTCACACTCGCCATAATCAGTCCTCGTCCATCGGGCTCTCGACTAACCCGCCGAAAATCTTTCATATTTTGTCTCCAGATCAGTAGCCCATCAGCCTTTGCTTTGCGCTCGACTTAAGACTCTTGAAATGGAACCAGCAGAAGATGTTTGGAACGACTTCCACGTTTTCCGTGGCAACTCTACGCTTACAGCGGGTTTGCTCTTTAACAAGGTTGGCGAAGGAGATCTCCAAGCTAATGTGAGGTGGTTCTGGACGTGGATTGATACCCTGCATACAAGTCTTCTCAATAATGAAGACGTCGGTATCAACCCGTCAGCACAGACTCAGGATGTGCTAGAACTGCTAAAAAGATTCTTTCCCCTCCCAACATCTCCGAATCAGTAGGCTATATCACTTTCCATCACTACCCAGTTCCCCCCTAATGTTACAATTACTAAAATTAACGCAGGCAGAGAGAACGCCCTCTGGTCCTCCTGAATCCAGACAACACCGGAAAACTCCAGTTCGTGGAAGTGACATTCGGAGATGGGAACAAGATCCAGATTCCTGATGGCGCCAGCGCTCTGGCTTTCATCTTCAGCGTCGCTGCGCCCCCCGATGCTCTCCCTCGAGACTCCAGTGCGGTCCGCAGATGGATTATTCCTCTACTGGCGGCATTGTCTAGGTGCCTCTATCTGGCGTACATATTCAATCAGATCAACGGGACAGACCCTGAACCGACACAGGAAGGCAATCTCATGTCGGTTCCCGTCATGAGCTGCGCAATGTGGTTCGTCGAAGCAGAGAACAAGCTACCTCGTTACCTGCTGGGGTCTACATACACCACGGGGTCCAACATCGATATCAAAGCAGTTGCAAGCCTGAAGAGGCGTCGGTTGATGAATCTTTGGAGACGTGAAGAGCTCGTCGACCCCCAACTGTCGTCCTTCGCGCCTCCGCGGAAACTACCTCCCGCGAGTGCGAGCCAGTATTTCACCTCACCTACGCTACAAGCCGAAGCCGAAGAGCTTTTGGCCGCTGCAATGAGGAGCGATGTTCTCTCTTCTGCCCCTGCTGTCACATTGAATACCTACATCAAGTCGGTGACTGTCGACCCTCTTCCGGACAAAACACCTTGGTTTACCTTCCCGAAACCGAAGGTAGACAGCGCGACCAATAAAGCCAATGCCGCACTGCTACAGAGTTACGCGGCGACCTCCCCACTGCAACCGCCTCCAGAGATAGGGCCTCTGCAAAGACAGAACATCTTGAATAATGCAGATCCCGTACTGGAGAGCACTCTTCGCGCCGCATTGAGCAACGTGCTTCGTATCGTTTGGGCCGCTCGTGGTGTCCTAGACCCGAACGACGAGGCTGCTCTCAAGGCCGCCTTTTCCGAGGTCTCAGCGGCGTACTTCGTGCCACACTACTACCTTCTCAAACCTGACCTCAAAAACCCTGCCAAGAAGGTATTGGACTACACGCTCGAAATCCCGATCGCTACAAGAGCGGCAGAGGCCAAGATACTGTTCGATGGCTTGTGGACAGAGGATAACAGTAAAAAAATCATCAATATGGCCTACAGAATATACCACTGGGTTATTGCCGAAGATGATGAACTCAAGTTTGCCGGTGGAGGAGTATCTCGATGGGGACGCTGCGCCGAAACGTATCCGGTCTGTGAGCTCCTGTAAGTTCCCCCAGCTTATCCCAACGCTTGGATTCTTCACGCTATACACAAAATTGAGATGATACTAAAACTAGTACAGGCCCAATGTGACCTCAGAGCGAAAACTCCTTGGTGCCCCTAATGAATCTTTAGTCAAAGGGGTCGCAATGGAGATTCGGTCCTTCAGTAACCTAGTACCTGCAGCTCCAGCTGTTGGTATATTTGCCTTGGAGCAAAGCTTCACTTGGGGTACACTTGCTGAAATCCATCGATGTCGTGAGCAAGGATTGTTTAGGCTGCCTTGCCAGAATTGCCAGATTTTGTTGCCAGAAATGGATGTACGTGTGGGCAAGGATAACTACGACACCGAGCTTTACAAACGGCAGCCAGACTTCCAGGTCGTGTAGATGTCTACGGATAATTGAGCAGGTAGCTTATTAGAAGAATTTTGCACTTCTCAATTGTTTATCATATAACCCTATATGTGCTTCAACACATGATGCGATTGACAGCATAAGAATTAGCCTTGAAATTTACTACCTTCTTCAAAATCCGAGGCGCTCCGTATTGTGTCTAGGCCTTTGAATCTTCCATATCGCCAGTATGAGCACATGATATCATTTCCTGCTCGGATGTCTGAGCATGGCTTCTCCAAAACCGATCATCCCATGTCGTAGTCCACATAGAGTCAAACAGGTGTCCTCGCCCAGACCTTTCAGGACGTCTGGGCTGAGCGAAACGGGTAGCCTACCAACAGCTCATCCTACATGAGATCAATACAAGATTTCAACGGCGAGATTACTGTATTTCCATACAAAGCGTTCAAGAGACCAACAGTCGAGTTGGTGCTATTCAGAAGATGGGTCGATGGCATGTCCTCAATAGAATCCTTGCAAGCCCAGGCATAAATAGCTTGGGGGCTGCATGTCAGCTGGACCAGCATGCATCTTCCGTGACTGCAACTCGCTGTTGGTTGAGCAGTGGGTAAAAAGAGACGAATAACCCACTTATCACATGCCGGCTGCTTGCACCAACGTTCGAGTTGGTGGCTAGCAGTGCAGGACAGCTCCTAATATAGCCGATGCACAATAATAGGGTTACATTGTGTCGGATTGCGCTCCTCTTTTCGGCATGTTCTAGTGGGAACCGTCAGCTTTGATCCTACAAGGCAGCATGCATATGATTGTTCCCGGAATGCGGCAGGATTCGAATGTGTCGTTGGGACCAACGTGCTTCAGTACCTGACAAAGGCAATCTTGAAATAGATTAGGGGAGCTACGTCGTGAGTAATAGCTTCTTTCCATAAATCAAGACGTGCGCCAGCTCAGCAAACCTGTTTACATATTGATAAAACATTCAGACCATCACTTACAGCAAGAGCTCAACAGCTTTCAACTCACATTATTATTGTCGGTACCCCTACCATTCACCACGGTCCGATTAATTCAAGCGTATCTAACAATCATCTCCCCAGTTTTCAAGATGTTCGGCCTCAAGTTCATCGTCCTCTCCCTCTCAGTGCTTATCAGCCAAGCCCTCGCCATCAATGTGATCCTGTTCGCGAAGGCCCCCAAGATGCCAAAGGAGATTACAAAGGAGTGGGCGATCCCAGCGCACTCATGCGACGGCCCAGAGAAGAAGATCGTTGAGAAGATGGGCAGCTGGTCCAAAAACAAGTACACGGCCCAGATGGGGGCCGGCCAAAACGCACGGGTCGTCGTCAAGCCCACCAAGGATCCAGACACGGAGGCTGCTGCCATCAAGATGCTCGGGGATATGGAGAGCATCCTGGTCAAGAACACCAAAAAGGGGTGGTGCGAGAAGCTCATTGACAAATTCAAGGGTGGCAAAAAGGACACCAAGAAGGGTAAGGGGAAGCGAATGGCTATGCGCAGACGAGAGGCCAGAGCCCGAAGAGGCTACAGGGCCAAACGAGGCTGGAAGGGTCACTAGACGAATGGGGAACTTTTCATAGTGTTGGATTACGCGTGATATCAATGGGATATATGGCGGGTGGAGGCAACCTAACGTAGAATAGAGTCTTAGTGTTCATGGTTTCATCACAAGATGTGTCACTATTCATATAGTCATGCAAAAGCGGAGGTGCTTTTTCAATAATTCTTCAATAAGAAGCAGACCCGATTGCTCGTAATCATGATTTCTATGAGCTTCGGCACCATAATAACGCCTGGAGGCTTAAGGTGCTTGAAGAAGTTGGCTCAACTCCATCCTGGCTCTACCACCACAAAGAGCCATAAGATTTATATGCTATAATTAAATTTCTGCTTTTAAGAAACAAAAAAGAAACCAGTTCACTCCCCTGGCCTTAACATCGGCTTCATCCGGCAAACCCCGAAATTTCGGGTCATCATCTCGCACGGTAGCCTAGACCTATTCCTCCTCCGCAGATAGATTGACTACGTGAACCGACGAGAGGGCCTCATACGAGATATTTAACAAAAAGTACATCTCTCTGGCTGACACCTCCGCCACCCTCCTTGCTCAGTGAGGCAGCGCGAAGCCATTGACCCACGAGTAATGGGAAGACCACAAGTCTAAAAAGAGAGTCCAATGGACAAACTAGTGGAGTTTGTGTGGATCGAACACACGACCTTCAGATGTCTAAAGACTGAAGTCAACTTCAGTCTGACGCTCTCCCAACTGAGCTAAAACTCCGCCTGATTGGTTGACGATGGTTCAGCTCATCCCGATACAATAAACTCACGAACACCAAGACTGAAACGATTTAATGAAAAGGGAAAAGGGAGGAAGATGCGGAGGCTGCGTAGACCACGTGACCTTTAGATGCTGAAGAACTGGGGACTAACGTTGGGCAGAGTCTCGAGTGAAACCAACATACCCACTTACTTGGCTGGCTGTCAAGTGTCTTACATCATTGATCTCTGAGAAATGGGTGCTTCGGGCCTACACTCTTGCTCTACTCCACCGATGACCTAAGGGCATTTAAGGAGATCCAATGCGTATAAATAGAGCGACAGGGACATCTTGCCGGAACCGATCAACGGCATTTGTCAATCCCAGACGCGAGATTAGCGTTTGATGGGGGTGAAATTTTCTTAGTGGATCCTCCAAGCTACCCGAGAGCTGATGTTGGCTCCGCGTCTGCTGGGACATTTCTCGAAAGCTAAGACAAGCATTGGTGACCTAGTTACCAAGGGGATTGAGTAAAAACTCGACATTAAGGGGGGAATACTAGGGACCATGTGGGAAGCTCACTGATATGCTCAAGAACTTTAGTGTTTGGACTCGTTGCATAGGTAGGTTGATATTAACTCCTCTGAGCTACTAAACTCGAAGATTTTAATGGTCTGTGCCGGTTTATTCTTTACGCTTTCGCAGCTTACATTAATGACTAATAACAAGCAATCAATTTTCTCCAGCTGCTTTTATTTATTCCATTATGAATAAACTAACTTCTACTGGTTTATGCAAGCTCTGGACAAGTTTGCAGATATGAAATGTTCAAAATCCCTATCTATATTTAAATAAGAAGGGCTGAGACATCTGAAACTGGAGTTTTAGCTCAGTTGGGAGAGCGTCAGACTGAAGTTGACTTCAGTCTTTAGACATCTGAAGGTCGTGTGTTCGATCCACACAAACTCCATTCTTTTGCTTTTTGTCCCTTCCGTCATCTGCCATTCCAACCAATTGCCTCCCTCTGGGCAGTCTAAATTTTGTTTTGGGGGCGTTTGACATTACGTTCAACCATTTTTGGGTCATTGCATTGGGCGGCTGCGGTGAATTGACGATTATTACATTACCGGCAGCCTCAAACTCAAAATCGCGGTAATATTCCCACGGGAAATTTGACTCTTTAGACCCGCCAAGCACTTGTTTATTCACCCCTCATTTCCCCAGCTAAAAAAATTCTCTTTGCTGGCTTTTGTTCGCTCTTTTGTTAATCATTTGTGGTTTCGTTCCCTATCCCCCCTTCCCTTTAGCGACTCTGGTTCATTGTGAAGCCTTGGCTAAGACGAGAGTTAAATTCCGGGCAGCTTGCGGACTGCTGAATTCAAACTTCCTGACGTAACCGCGCCCGTGGAAAATAGAGGGCGAGATTTCAGCCAGCGCCAATCAACACAAATGGTTCAGACGAGTATGCTCTGCCTTGGATCTCGAAGCCTGTGAGGCCTCCTGATCATCGTAATTGAATTGCGGAGAATTGGGAACATGAACTACATATATTCAAAAATCAGAAGTGAAAATATGTCACGGGGTACCTACCATAGATAATAGCATCCTGTTCAAGGACTTTTAGAATGAAGAAGTTGTGACATGCAAGTTGCAGACATGACAAACCTAACTCATACCTTCTCAAACCTGGGAGTTATTGGTCTGACTTGTAGTTTAACAGTTATCCTATTGTATTTGTTGTGTTGAGAATGGTGAAATTTAAGACAAGTCTAATTGTTGTATGAAAATGCTCGTGGGTTTGGATATATGGGATACTGTGCTATTTAACCCAGTTTTGCTATACCATTGCTGAGGTTTTGACTATGTGTGAGAAGAACATCTAGCACGGTAGGACATGAATGTTTTCAAGAAAACCAATGTTGTGACCTTCGGGTGCATGGATTTGTCACCGCCCTTGCTTACTCAAGAAGAAGTTGACGTAGCCTAAAGATTCACATCATATGTTCTATTACAGAAAACTTGGGTACAAGAATATAGTTACTGGAGTAGCTTCTTGAATAGTGATTCTGGGAAGCACCATAATTCCTCGAACCCTGGGATACTATGTTGGTTTGAAGTAAGGCCGAATTATGCCGCAACAGGGCCAGAATTCTCACGTTGAGTGCGTCCTTGGTCTAACGGAGGTAAAGGGTAAGATGGTTTCAACACTCAGAAGGAGAACAAGCCTGAGACCGATTGTGCTACATCAGATTCCACTTTTCTCAAGTGCCATGCAGCAATAGGGATTTTCGGACGCTCATTGAAGAGGTATCTGAAATCAGAAGAAGGGATTGAGGACTGTCAAGCTTCTGACCTGCCGGTTTCAGTTCGGGTGTGATTCTATGGATAATAGTAAATCATATTTATTTCAGTTTTCATATCCGCCTTTGGTAATACCAATTGGCCTTCAGCAGGTATTGGCGTCATTATTCCTGAGAGCTTGTAAGAGAGACCTTTAAGTGATGAGTCACAAATTGCTCAGGTTCCAACAGAAGCGGCTCGTTCACTGTAACCAATTAGGTCGACGAGCAACAGTGGTACAGTTGGTTCGAAATTCAAGGCTTTCGCGTCAAATATTCACTGGAAGACGAGCCTCTGAGCGACGGCTATGGCACTCGACGGGCGGTAGATCGTCCTGGAATAATTAATTCGCGAGGCTAGATATGTCACTTAGGGACCATCGCGGTGGAAGGAAGGAGTGGCGAGAAGATGATATCTTTAGGGGACAAGATTGTCGATTATTAGCGAGTTCCCTGGAATGTTTCGACCTCTAGCAGCAAGAATAATGGGTGATTTTGATGATGTTCCTCACATAGGTAGTTGAAACTTGGTGTGGTATGCAGTCGGCGTTGGATGGGAGACCTAGGCATAAGTATACCGGGGGCCGTATCGGTCTTTGTGACAAACAGCCTTTCTTTATACCGAACATGGTTCTTATCATTCTATTGTAATGGCATCGTGAGACGGTGATTTAATAGGACGGATTTTAAACGCAGTCCAGCTGGATATACATCAGCTAGCCGCACAGAAGTGTCCTACGCCACTGAGTTGGGCGCATAGAAAAATTTACGAAGCGGCTGATTCATCAACAGAGGAGTTTTAGCTCAGTTGGGAGAGCGTCAGACTGAAGCCAAACTTCTGTTTCCTGTTATCTGAAGGTCGTGTGTTCGATCCACACAAACTCCACTTCTCTGTTCTTTCTTTTGCTTTTTTGTTCTCTCCTTCTGATTATCTTCTATGTTTTGGAGGCTGATGACTTTTTATTTTCTTACTCTTCTTTTTCCTTTTCTGTGGATTTTGGGATGAGCGACCGAAGTACCATTGGCCCTGCGCGGTGAAGGGTGAAGCAGTGGAGAAAACCTACTACCTAGGAGAGCCATTAAGCAACTCGGCGATACACTCACTCTCTTAACTAATATTTTTCGTCATAGCGCCTGTACCCCCGCGAGCAAGACCAGTAGGCAAGCTGAGGGAGGCTCTAGATCCTCTTCAGAAGTATATACATACCTACGCTCTGGGGGGTATTGTCGCTGAAAATGACTGGGATGATTTATGGAACATCTTCAATTCATCAAGTCTATCTATATTCTTCTATGCTAGAAGTAGGCCGTTAGGTCAAATAAATCATTTCGCCGAATCCATTTCTCTACCAGCTGTGGTAGCCACTTAATCTTGAACATATGTTAAAATGGCATGGAACACAGAGACGTAAGCACCAGGCTTTCTGGCCAAGCCTAGGCAGGCAGCTTGAAACCGGAGCGACGAAGCTTCTGGAAGACACCATGGGGATCATAGCGCTTGGCAGTCTTCTTGAGAAACTTGACATTTTCGTCACCGTAGCTTGCGATGACATCCTGATCACCAAGAGCGTAGTTAAGATAGATGTAGTCCTTGTGGGCGCCAATCTCCTTGCCATATGCGATGATGGACTCGCGGAATTCGAGAGTGAGGGGGTGGATTTTCTCTTGATTCTCCGGGGTATCGACCGTGCACATGATCATCCACATGATTGTTGGGCCGTCCTTTGTGAGCTCGGTGAGGCCAAGCACGTTACCGCCGGCGTCTTCTGCGTGTTTGGCCATCAGAGGCGTCACGGGCTGGAATTGGAGGAGAAGGTTGAACTCGGAGCCGGGGGCGGCGGCCTGCATCTTCTCGATGGTCTCGGCGTGTTTCTTCTCGGCGAAGCGCATCGCACGAACGTCGTTGGAGAATTGGCCAGCCATCCAATTGGCACTGCGAGGCAAAATTATGGTTAGAAC